GCTCTTTTTCTCGCTGAGCTTCGCTGGCCTGCCGGCTACTTTCTCTTTTTCTCTGTCTTTCTCCTGCTCTATATTTCAAATTTGGAGATATGACAATTAATCTAAGCTAAATACTCTAGACAACACGGATACAGAAACAATTTCCGCTTTCCGTTTTCGTCTTTATTGACTCTTTACTTGTCTCTGATTTACAAGACGCCGGTGCCTATGCGATTTCCCGCCAAAACAACCTCGAGTCGCATTTGGGCTGCCATACCTGTTGATTGAGTTATTTTACATTGGTATGCCTGTGGTGCGTACGGACGGTCGCTCGGTCGGTGTACGGTCACGTGTTTACCAAATTTTCTCGGATGGGTAGATTACTTCATTTTGTTACCCATGGTGCTCCGCTAGCTCACTTCGTGCGCGAGAGCTCCGCTAATATGTTGCATTCCTATTTCTCAAGGTGAACTTCCGAATTACGATCTCTTTTTTCCGAGCAAAGGTCTCACTAGTTTTGTCAACCAGACCTGGTCAGCAAACTTGAAGATGTTAGGAAGGAATCCACTAGGAAATTGAGTAATGTTAATTTTCAGTGGACAAAAACCTTAGGCTAAATTAGTATACTAGGTAATAGCATGATTTGTAGTGATATTTGGCATGAATATCACGAGTGATATTTCGAAATTGTTCTACGTAATTTCACGAGCCGTTAGGCGAGTGAAATTTGAGACAATTTTGAAATATCACAAGTGGTTTTTTTTACCAACTATCACGTACAAATCATGCTATTATTTGTTTATACTACTACCCGCAAAAGGTTTGTAATTTTCACATGTAGGTACTTCAAATAAGGCTGAAATACCACTGCTCTAAGCCAATCAGTAGTAGTATACAAGATGTAATAAATCCTCTGTAGTAACAGCAAAGAAAATCTCTCATGGAAGTCCGAGAAAATGAATGTCAAATTTCACAAGAATTGTGATTACATAGGTAAAGTTCTGAAAATTTCCTGTGTAAGATGTAACTTTGTGAAATTTGACATTCATTTTTTCGGGTTCCCATAAGAATTTTTTTTTTTTTGGTAATAAAGTGTGGTTGTGAATGGGGAATATAGAAGCATATAGAATGACTGCCTAGCTAGAATTTCTAGTTGTGATTAAATAGTTTCACCCGCCACACAATTCATGTTTTCTTTGCTTGATGTCTTTTCAGAGAATAGTCTCTGTCGAAGGCATTTGTCTCCTGAATTAATTCTTAACTGGCTCGAAAAGCAAAATTAAATAATCACATTCTACAAGCAACCGAAGGATAAATTCCCAGCGGGTCTTTCAAGTTTGCATTGTTGCCCATAATGAAAGTTTGCTGTAACTTTTTTTAATATTTTTTTTTTTTTCAGCGTACTTCGGCAGTTTTGGTAAAGGTGTCCTTCCCTGAAATTGCGTAACAATCAAACAAAAGCTAAAAATATTTTTGATTAAGGCAATTAATTTTCTTTAGCTTAATAACCGCGCACCACAGAGAGTACTAATTTTCTTTTCATATCCCAGCTGAAGTCGCTCAGCTTTTATATTTACCCAATGACAGGTGAGCTAAGACTCCATCAGATTTCGGCAGCGGTTGAATAAAACTCCAACCATTAGGACTTCATAGAAATGTCAATCATACAGACATCTTAATCTAATTTTCTTTCCGCGACAACGAGAAAAGTACACAGAAGAAAATGGAATAATTGATTGTGTTTGCAAAGAAGGAAAAAGCTCAAAATCCCTCGTCATTTGGGAAATAGAAGGTGTTAACCTGTTTTATAAAAAAGGGACAGAGATTTCTTATCCCAAAAGACTGCGATGAAATGACGTTCTGGCATCTGATTTTCACTACATTTCAGTGGAATGCAATTATCCTTATGTCCTCTATGGCTGCTGGTTCGATGATAAAGAGACGATTATCACAAAATGTGGCGTACTTTGAAGCAAATAAAGGTAACACTGACCACACTATATTTCGATATTTTCTAACTTTGTAGAACGACCCCAAACATATAACAATTATTCACCACAGTGGAGGTGGCTAGTGGTGGTAATTACCGAGGCCGCGTTAGCGGCGAAGTTAATATCCACTACTATTCACTGATTCACCTCCAGTTCCTCCTAGCGAGCGACGCCAAACTCGTGTAAGTTGCGAGCAAAATGCCTTCCCGGTTTGCTGCCGTAACAAACAAAGAAATTTCACAACTAATCAAGCAAGCTGTTCCCGAAATACACGAAGGTGACGAGGTTCGGTTTGGAAGTTTTAAAAGGTAAAGATTTGTCTTTTTGACTTGAATTAATCGATAAAACCAGTGAAAAAGGTTTTTGTTTACAAATGTAAATTAAGCTTAAGTTGACTTGTTCATAAACAAGCTTAAAGCCAAATTTAATAATCATTTTTACAGAATGTTTTGAAATACAAAAAGAATTCACAACTCCTTTTAAAGAAATTTCCCCGCAAGAGCCAAACAAATGCCTTCAAAAGATTTATTTGTCGGCAAGAAAAAGCGACGACCGCGGTCGTTCGGTCATCGGGCGCCAAAATTGTAATCGTTGGCAGCAGTAAATGAGTTAAAAATTATCATTTTTTTGCTCAATTATCTCACTGTTTTACTATATACTAAAACAACTATTCACCTCAGTGTCGGTGGCTTGTGCAGGATATTCACTGATTGAGTAGCCAATCAGAGCGCGCGAAAAACACTATCCACTGTTTTAGTATTACTAAAGTGGTTTAAGTCTTAAAACGTGCTGTGAGTACTGTTTCGCGCTTAAATTAAAAGCTTTCACATTTTGTTTGCCAAACATGTCGATGTCTTGAATAAAACATCTATTGTGCTACCACTTACACCTAAGGCAACTAATTAACTACCAGTGAAAGTGGTGGAACCGTAATGACACCATAGTAAAAACGTTATTCTCCTCAGAAGCAGAATTTTACCGTTTGGTATAAACGTCAGAAATCAATTATTTATTAGGTACTTAAAAGCTGGTTCTCACTAGCGACGGAGTCAGAGTCGGAGTCTTAATCAGAAGCGTAGAACTTTGCTTCCGATTCCGACAATCTGGCTCTCATTAGATCGTAAACGACGAAGTCATAAGCGGAGTCGGAAGAAAATGGAAACGTTCTCGGACTGCATCGCCTTTATGACTCCACATACGACTCCAATGTTAGATTTTAACGAGGTCATAAGCGCTCTTACGACTCCGACTCCAACTCCGTCCCTAGTGAAAACCAGCCTTAAGAGACTAAAACCATTTGTTTTGTTTGCTCAAATAGTCGTGGATGCGGTTTAGGCAAAATATATATGTCTGACGGAAACTAACTTGACTTTCAACTAAAGGTTGTAGACGTCGATAAAAACACTACAAAAAACCTGATTTTCTTCCTTTTGAACAGAGACTTTTTGTTGGAATAAACGCTACAAATAAATTATTAAGGCCTTCATAAGCGATCGCTTTTCAATTGGTCATCCAAAGCTTATGGGTTGTTCGACTACGTCATTAAATTAAACGTATAGCTAAGTTGCATACGTCAACAAATGTATAGTCGTAGGTCACCGAGAAATGTAAAGTTGCAGTGCTGACCAATTCGGTTTCAGCATTTTATCATGAATAATTATTTCTATTAATTAAATTTATTAAATTTTCATTTTGACTGAAGAAAACCTTCAGAACAAATTGATACATACAATTACGCGTATTTAAAAACAAAACAAAAAAAAACATTCATTATTTATTTTTTTAACTTGTGCTATACATGCAACTTTTATTAAGTTTCTTATTATATCTTGCAACTAAACTTTACTTCACTTGTCTTTATTGAAGCCTTTTATTATTTATTTATTCAAAGGATACTCGCTACAAAGTCATGTGATTGCCTTTCATCACGTATCGCGTGACTTTGACTGTGGGATTATGTGTTTGCAAAACAAAGGGTGCTTATCATACAACTACAAACCAACCAGCGACAACCGCAACGAGTGCCAGTTGAATGATGCCAGCAAAGTCTCGTGTCCAGGATGTTTAACTGTTGAACCTGGCGTCATTTATTATGACGTTGTCATGGTAAGTTACATCAATCAGAGCAATAAGTCGGCCAAAGGGAAGCAAAGAGAATTTCGGATCAATTTAGGTTTGTGGGAAACTGCCCACCTACCACTCCTCGAAGCCAACATTATCAATTACTTCTTACTTAGGGCAAAATGTTGGCTTAGGGATGGGTAGGTGGGCAGTTTCTCAGAAACCTAAATTGATCCAGAATTTCAATAGGGAGCTTAATAAACAAAGGCGTTTTGGAGAGACGCACGTCAACCGGAAGTGAAGATTTTTTTCCTTTTACAATGCCTTGACGATATGAAATTTGTATTACTTAGCTTCTTAACACTTGTAGAGACGATTTAACTGAAAATGTGGGCAAAACCACTGCTCAGGAATGTAAAACGTCTTCTTCCCGGTTGACCTGCGTTGCTCAAAAATGCCTTTGCTTCATTTCCCTAATATCAGCAAGCCAGATCATTCTACTTCTAAATAGTTACAGTCGAATCTCGATAACTCGAACCCTCGCTAACTGGAACCTCGCGCCAACTGGAAACTCGAACCAAAATCGATTTCACCTGGATTTCCTTTATACATTTACTAGCATTTTACCCTCGGTAACTCGAACCTCCTGCCAACTCAAAGAAGATTTTGTTTTCTTTCGGATCATTCCTACATATAAATATGCCCTCGATTTAACTCGACAAGTCGAAAAAAAGCGTACTGCAGTCTGAAACACTGGAGTTACTTCAACATCTTTGTCTTTATACTTTTTCAGACTAGTTAAATACAGTGTCCTGCAATGTGTATTTATCAAGTTTTGTTCGGTTAGTGAAGTGCATTTCTTTTAAATGTTACTTGCCTTCATTCCTCATCCCATTTTTCGAATTTCCGGTTATTTGCTTCAAACTCTTGCTAACTGGAATCTTTTTCAATATCCCTAGAGGGTTCGAGTTGTCCGATGGGAGTCGCTTGTTTACACTCCTGCAATATACGTTTTTATAGCTTTTACTTTTTGCTTCCCCATATCAGATATGAATGCTTAAAGTTACGACCATAAAAAAGGAAAATTCCCTTCAAAAACTAATACGCTGTCTCTTGAAAAAACGGGCTATTATCCAAGTGTCTCTACTTACCAAAGCTATAGTAAGCTCGTCGTTAACCGAACCATCGTCAATCGTAGTCACCCATGACCTTACAAAATTTGAAATGGAGAGAAATTAATCCATTGCGTCTTATCTTTATTTATTTATTTATTGTTCATGTTCCCTTTTTTTCCAGATGAACGACTGCACCGGGAGAGATGGTGAGAACTCCAATTTGTTGATCAATTACAACCAATTGTTTCAATGTTGTTGTTAAATTTTGCATTCTTGTTGCCACCATGACATTAATGATTTCTATATATGCAACCCTGACCATAATAGGATATTAGTAATAATAATAATAATAATAATAATAATAATAATAATAATAATGATTCATTCATTCATTCATTCTTTATTTGCCATATATACAAAATTTTACAAATTAAGGTTGGAATAATGAGATTAAAGAAAAGTAAATGATGGATTGGATTATACATATACAGCCAAGGATTATTCAACAGGCTAGTTATCCTGTCGTATTTTCTTTTTCCATCCAATTCTTTCCAAACTAGTACTGGAAAGCATATAGTCCTTTACGTAAAGAAATCGTTTCATTTTATTCTTTTGCTTTTAGGTGAAATCTCGGATTACGACCTTAATTTTACTAACAAGAGCACCAGAAATTACGTCAACCAGACCTGGCCTATGAAATTGTCAAAGTTTACAATTTGCTTTTGGATGCAGACTGAAGACACCAATAGAGGCGTGACGTTTAGCTATGCTATTCCAGGAGAACATAATGAAATAACGATCTTTAGAACGGAACTGGCAATCCATGGTGAGACGAGGTAAGGATCGAGCCAATACTGACAGCACTCTCTTTTGACACTGCATGAAACGATCTTCAGTTTCTTGGTCCGACATAGTAGCCAGTCTCCGTGGCCACTTGATGGTATTAGAGCTCAATCAATTATGGCTAATCTCAGGGTGAATGGTGGTGGGTGAGGGGGTGGGGGTTGAAATGTCCCTTCTATAAACATCTAAATGATGTACGACTCAGTAAACTGTGGTCACAGGATACTTGAAATGTATACATTTCCAAAGTTGTTTTCGGCGCCATTGAATCCTATATCGCATGCAGAGAATTTAAGTAAGAATCAACCCTGTGAACGGATTCTCTTTTTGACTTCTTCTTGAACGAAGAGGAAAAAAAGGCGGATCAGTAGAAATCGCGTCAAGCTTTGGTATCGTAGCAATGAGACCGAACTTTTGGTCTCGTCTCATTTTCCTCGTTTTCTCATGTGAAACTGTTTTTTTGAGTACGAGCATCCGTTTGTTTCGAACGGTATCGTGTCAACATGCAAAGCATGTTCAACATTTTCTAATCTTAATTCCTCGAGCAAGGAAATGAAAGGATATCCTGGTAGGGTAGGGAAACACTCACAACGTCGGCACTGGCAGCCAAATTAACTGTGGGTTTCTTTTTGCTTAGTATACAATCAACTCTCGTCTGGATTCCCGGTTGTCACGGATACCCCGATAATACGTGCGGACAGCCCCTGAATCCCCGGTGAAAATTACAGATATTTGACTAAAACATTAACTCCTGCTGTTATGGACTCTCGCTTAAGGGACCGGTCATTATTTATGGCCGGCGGGGTTGGGGGCTAAACAAGGTGAAATTTAGCCGATCCCCCTTAGCCTGCAGTGCAGGCGTTTTCTTGGAGCGCGCAATTTGCTGGCGAAAGCGCCATGTTGAAACTTCCCAAAGAGAGGAGGAGATGGGGCGAGTCAAAGGGAGTGGGGAGGGGGCGGGTGAAGAGAACACGCCTGCCCGAAAATACTGTGAAAATGAGAAACACCCTCTAATTAGACGCACGTGACCGCTCTTCAGGAAATGAGTAGCTGACAATAACGAAACAACCAAACAGTCGCTCCAGTCCAAAGAAACAAGCTGGAGTTTATCATTGTTTTTATCTTGACTGAGTCACAATGCAATTCTCCACAGCTGATGAAGCTTCAGTTTAAGCTGCAATTCATTCTTCTAAATTCATCTCTGTAAATCGCTATCCGTGAGAGTTTAACATCCTGCAAACGATTTAAAAAAACTAACGAGCTGGGCCCAGCTTGATACAACATGGCAGGAAAACATCACATTCTCGGACTAGAAAGAAAATCGCTTAGCTATTCAGATCCTGAGGCACTTTGGACAAAAATAAAGAACCTAACAGCCTTATTTAGCGACAAAAAGAGCTTTACGCTTCAAAAGAGGTTAAAGAAAACGCTCTTGCATCAGAGGGCAAATCATGAAGACCAAAAATTCAAAAAAACACAGAAAATCAATAAGCGTGTCATGGCTTCTCAGTGTGAAACAAGGGGTTAAAATCACATTTGCTCAGTCAAAACATAGAACCCCCTAGAGCATAATCTACTCGCCAGAAAAAAAAGCGTATTGGAACAAGCAGCATTTTGGCATGAGGTAAAAGTGGTGTAGGTTTTAGTACTGCGAGCAAATCTTGTCCTGATGACCAGTGTAGAAATCGCTTTGACTTTCTCATTGCGTAATACACGCGACATTCCCAGCCGCTCCAATTTCAAACGACTGACGGAAACGGAATAAATTAAATAATATAGACTTGCAGTTAATTGACAGGCATCAATCTACTTCCCTATGCCGCACCAATCCGGAGCTCCGTTTGCCAGCGTACGGAGTTTCCCACAAGAACAATGATATCGGGCAGGCGTATTTTTTTCGCCCCTCCCCTTCCCCCTTTCCTTCTTTCGCCCTCGCACCTACCGTAAGGGTTACTATTTCTACTCTCTCCAATCTCCCACTGTCATAAAACCAAAGATGGCGGCTACAACAATATTACGAACACGAACAAGGTTTCGCCCACCCAAAATACGCCTGCACTGCAGGCTAAACCCCCCTTTGAATGTTACTTCACTGAAGTGATCCCCCCCCAATAACATTTGATGACTTTCGTGATCCCCCTCGTCCCATGTCTCCATTTTCCAAGCAAATTTGAGTGGTCCCCCCTCTGAATCCTTCCAAAGTTTTCAGTGATCCCCCCTTTTGGGTTCTCAGCTACGATCTCCCTTTTTGTTCTCCTAAAAATCAAGTGATACCCCCCAAACCAACTGCCCCCCCCCCTCTCCTCCCCCCAGGTGATAAATAATAACCAGTGCCTAAATTAAGGACTTACGGACACCTTTCTCGGCCCCAACAGCACTGTTCTAGTGTTTAAACTCTCGTTATAACGGACATCATTCAGCGTCTTAACGCGACAAGTTATGTCTAAATTATGATTCAGTTTATTCATTTGTTATCCATCTATTTTATGAAGGAGAATTGGTCTAGGAAAATATTACGACGGAGTAAGACACCATATCTGCGTAGCTTGGGGAAATGAGAATGGAGAATGGAGTATGACAGTAGACGGCGTAGTGACCATTAACGGTACCGGCTTTAAACCCGGATATGTTATTCCCGGTCGAGGGTACTTGGTAATTGGTCAAGATCAAGACAAAATGGCAGATCCCAACAGTTTCCAACAGATACAGAGCTTTCATGGAACACTCAGTGGACTTCATGTATGGAGTAATGTGTTGTCCGACGCAGAAATAGTTCGCATGTCGAAGGGCTGTAATATGGGAATTGGGAATGTTCTCATGTGGTCTGATTTTCTGATCTCAAGGCATGGTGATGTTCTTGTCAAATGTCCATCTAGATGTGAGATTTAGTGCGTAATACACACGTTGGTGACTTAATCTTTGCGCAGTCTAAATGTGAACGAAATATGTTGATATCGACTGCTTTCCTGTCGCTCGTTAAACACACCGATGGGAAAAGCGCCCTGGGGACGAGGTTGCGATAAATCCATATATTAGATTGTTTTGCTTTTGCTGTTGTTTCGCTTTTTGCTGCTGACGTTGCCCCCGCTGGGGGCCCCCTTTCGAATAAGCGCCCCCTTTGAACGTGTTTTTATTAATTAGAGCCCCTGTTCCATTAAGGGCTCCCATTCCAATAAGGAAGGAAGGAGTCATGGATGAGAGGACAACAGTATATATATATATATATACAAGTTATAATATATGTACCAATAAGCGCCCTCATTCTGCTAAGCTCTCCTATTCTAATATTATAACATTAAGAGTACGGGTACGTATCAATCGAGGTTCATCTTCCTTTAATTGCTCACAAAACAAACGGTAATGCCGCATTACAAAACAAGGATCCTTTCGAGGGGATCATCGAAGCGGACGTCGGAGATAGCGCACCGGATAGATTTTATTTACGGTAATTGAAGTAAGTAGCATTGTCAAAGCTATCGGCGTAGAAATAGATTAAAATTCGCACACGTTTAATGAACATTCACCGAATATATACAGCGCTGGTGTAGTACTCTTAATTACATGGGTGCTTTAGTATGCCTTTGGGCATCTTTATGAGTTTAGGTTTTTTTATATAACCCATAATAGAAAAAAGAACGAGCAAACACAGGGGGTCTTTTGAACATTGTGTACATTTTTTTTCCTTTTTTAATCTAGGGAATTACTGTATAAATTTAAAATTAAGAAATTTAGTTTATTCGGGTTTATTTGTTTAATAATATTAATTAAAGCGCACATGCAATAAGCGTAAGGCATTTCTTAATTTTAATTATCAAGTTGTAAGCTTAACCTACCACATGTAACCTGGCAATTGCTTGACGTGTTAGACAACTCTGATTCGATCCCCCTACGTCGAGCCAAGTAAAAAAATTATATGCAACTCTGATATGCTGACAAAGCTTTCGTTCGCCATCGAAAATCATAATCGAAGGGTATGAAATTACCGAGTAAATTTTGATGAAGGGAATTTCCCCCACTTTAGCCATGCTGTTTGAAAAGACACTAAGCGTCATCTCCCATTGAAACGGAAGATTTTATTCTACAACTACTTTGCCGTTTCTAATCAAAAATGCTTCTCTTGCAAGAACTTAATGTATCTAGTTATCAGACCTTCGAAATTTGAAGCGAATGATTAATGGCGCTTTTAGTTCGTTTAATAACGTCTTATTTTTGCTTTGCGTTATTTTCCTCACTTACATGTGTTGTCCGCGACTGTGCTCACACGGTGGGTGGCTCCTACTAAAATGTTCTGCAATTGGTATAGGATTTGATGGAGCCGAAACCAATTCTGGAATTGCACGCATTTTAGGCATCCTACTGATGAACAGTTGGGACACGTAGATACATTTTTTAGCAACTACCATAATTTGCAGTCTGTCTACTTTGAATATCTATAATTTTTACTTAAGTAAAATGTTTCCTTTTAATAAGAAAGCAAGGTTATTCGATAACCTACATATTTACCTTTTGCAAATGCATGCAATATTTGGCAAACATTAATTTAACAAAATCGATTTGTTGACTTTATTCCTTTCGATGTATCATCGCCTTTCTGTACTCATTTTACCCACTACCGAGGACAAGAAGCTGTATTATTAGGTCAACAACCGAATTTGATACCTTTTGAGTCGTAATTATATTTCCTCGGCCACGCCTGTCCGTGTAAAACTGGTTTTTCTCATTTAACATAATTTTTGATTATTCGTTAATAATTTTGATTATCCGTTTCAAGTTCTTGCTTCTCCAGCTTTCTAGCTGTTATTAATTATTTGGTGAATGCTAGGGAAAAGGTAAATAAATGATCATATTTATGAAAGCTGCGATATATTTATCGTTCTTAAGAAATATTTTTATCTAGTCGTATTGTAATAAGGGGAAACCAGTGAGGCATGCCGAATCTTGATTGGACCTGAATCGTTTCGGCAAGAAGACGGTAAACGATATATGATAATCAAAGACAACACTCTGATCACTGACAGGTATTTCATGCTTATGATGATGATAATAATGAACCTATGGTAAAATGTTAGTATTATTATTGCTGTGATTCAATTTTATCCTTACTTTAAATTTAACTTTTCCTTTAGGAATGACAATCCATGATAAAATGTTTGAAACTCAGGAAAATGACATTTAAATAAAGGAGTATAATTAAACAATTAATCACAATATATTTTCTTCCATGTTGAGTATAGGGATCTCCACTACTCTAAGATATTCACAAAAGAGCTGCGTGTTTAAATATTGTCAGGTGATTTCGGCAATTCATATCGTTCCCTGAAAAAAAAAAGTGACAGGGTATTTTAATTTACCTGTGGTAGAACAGCCAAACATGACAAAACGCAGACGGCGAAAAGGACGTAATTAATTTTTCCCGCCAAAGAGGATCAAAACACGCACCCTGATTACCAATGTGCGGAAAAATAACGAAAACGATGCATCGTTCATATAAAGTATTCTTATTCTTAAGATGAGTCAAGGTCTTGTCTTCTTTATTCGGCTAATGCCGGCCTATGCTCTCCTTCTTTCTTCTGTGGTTGTCAACTCGAACATTATCAGAGGCTTAACTAAGCGTATGGGATATTTTCAAGCGTTTGAAGGTAATATATATTGACGATACTGTTTTGAGCTACTAATAATTATGGAAATATAAATTTTTCCTCCGTAGAACTTCTAAAAGTGTCAGTGAAATTGAAGAACTCAAGGTGGTGATCTCAGTCGGTCACAACCGACAATTCACTTTTGACTTTTCCAAGGGTAAACCTTCGCATTTTGACGAGGGATTAGCATTTGTTCATTGCTCTAACGACTTAATACTTACAAAACAGTGCTCTATATTGTCATGACTTACAGAAATCGGCGTGCATGAAGGTAATATGTTTACGCTACACTTTTCGTCGTCTTAGAAAGTTGATTAGGGTTTACTTTCTTTTTTTGAAGGGTGAGCTGTAATGTTTAGGCTTGACTACGAAAGATGACAACTACTTAAACTTAGTTAGAGTCTAGAAACCCCAACCTCCCGCTAAAATTTGTAGCACTGGTGCCACATTACATTTGAGACCGGTACGTTGACACGTCGAAAATTGGGAGTGCCGTGCCTTAAAATGGTCAACACGGTGCCAAAAATTTGGTGTGCCGTGCCGTTTCTTTTTTTAGCGCTTTGAAATGGGGTTTTATTTACCAGCTGTGAAGAAACACAAACTCAGTCGTCCGCTGCGCTTACTTGTTTGCTTAAAATTAATCGTAAGCGCTCACCAAACCTTAAAAAGTAATCTATATTTACAGGCCATGTACTGCAAAATCACGTGATCTCCACCCTTCAAGTTGCTCAAGCCCTGGATTGTGGAACTGAGTGTTTGAGAAACAGTGCATGCTTATCATACAACTTTAAACCAATCAGCATCAAACAAAACGAGTGTCAGTTGAATAACGCAAATAAAGTCACGTGTCCTGAGTGCTACAGCTTTGATGCGGATACAGTTTACTATGAGGACGCACAGGTACTATTTTTTTTTTTTTTAACTGGGAAAATAAAAGAAAAAAATGAAGTCAGAGTATATGCATGTGATGATCATTAATTCTCCTTCTTTCAAAGGAAACTCGTATATTAAGTTATTGTTATCGCTGTTATTTACCTTATTATTATTATCATTATTATTATTATTATTAATATTATTATTATTATTATTATTATTATTATTATCCCTTTTATCAAAGTCTTTGCTGGTGTTCTTTTTGTGCATCAGCCTGGAGCAAACCATGCACCTAAAGCGTCAGTCACTCAAGTCAATCATTCTGTTCATTAGTAGTAGTAGTAATAGTAGTAGTAGTAGTAGTAGTAGTAGTAGTAGTAGTAGTAGTAGTAGTAGTAGTAGTAGTAGTAGTAGTAGTAGTAGTAGTAGTAGTAGTAGTAGTAGTAGTAGTAGTAGTAGTAGTAGTAGTAGTAGTTTTGGGGGGGGCGGGGGTGGCTTTTACAAGGACACACTCTTTCCCGTAGGATGTCGTAATAAGGGTGTCCCTAGATTGGTGACTCATGAAGTTATATTCGATCAGTTAGGATAATGAAAGGCAGCTGCATTTTTCTACTTTCCGTTAGTTTTGATTTTAGTGGGCTCTCAATGCCCTAATCTCCATTCTAATTAAATCAGATGAGGATGCGACTTAAGTTGAAGCCAAATTACAAGAATGTCATCTGATACAGTGACGGATTGGTATGACTCAAACTATCTAAAGGTGAATTATCAAAAGTATGCGAGTCTGGTTACTAGTGGAACGAGCAAGGGTATTAAGAGAGAAAAATATTGAAGTCAAGGACTGTTGATATAACGAACCTCTACTCAAACTATCTAAAGGTGAACTATCAAAAGTATGCGAGTCTAGTTATTAGTAGAACGAGCAAGGGTAAGAGAGAAAAATATTGAAGTCAAGGACTGTTGATATAACGAACCTCTACTCAAACTATCTAAAGGTGAACTATCAAAAGTATGCGAGTCTAGTTACTAGTAGAACGAGCAAGGGTAAGAGAGAAAAATATTGAAGTCAAGGACTGTTGATATAACGAACCTCTACAGTGTATAATGTGAAATCCTCGGTATAACGAGCGATTTTCTTTGCCCCAGTAATAGAAAAATATATCGAAAAGGACCTCTATTTAACGAAACCTCGTTATCGCAAACAACTTTTGCCAGCCCCAATTGGGACTTCGTTATATCGATTTTCCACTGTTTTACACTCTTCGGTGTTGATATTGACAACAAATTATCATTTTCAAAACATATCAGGATAGTCTGTTAAAAGAGCAGTCACAAAGTGGGATTTATATTGAGACTGACGAACTAAAATCGTATTCCAACAAACGCTAAGCTGCAAGTTTTTAAGGCTGTGGTGTCTTCAAAAGAAAGCCTGATCCCTGGGCGTTTGTGAGAAAAAACTTTGAACTAGGGGAAGGGGTTTTCTTTACGTAAAGCTATTGATTTGGAAATAATTTTGTTGCGTAAGGTAGTACGCGTTAACAAAAAGAAGTTCTCAAGTAAAGTTTGTCCGGGATTATAGAAAGCTAGAGCGAGGCCAGGAACGAAATAATTAAAGAAGGATATGAGGTAATCCAAGAATTTACAAGTAATGTTAACTTTTGTTCTGAATGAACAATTGAAAATGAATGAATTTAAGTAAAATGGCCGATTTGAATATAAGCTCAAGTAAGCTTAAATGGAAGACAAGGTAGGTCCGATAAAAAGCACAACTTGTTTACGTCTCGTTCCGTTTTTACCCTTCCAATGTTGTTCTGCCGGCTCTCTACAGTTCTCTTCATAGACAGAGAAATACACGAAACTATTCCACTCCAATGTCGGAGGTGTTTTCACTTTTTACGAGAAATAATGGTCGAGAAAAACTTTTCTCAATGATGTCTGGGAAGCACTGGCGCTGCAAGCTGCAAGCGCCTATAAAAGTCGGGAATTTTGGCGCGAAACTCACACACCTCTGTGACTTCTGATTGGACGTATCATTTTTCTCACACATTAAAAAGCATCGTTCGCGATTCTGATTGCAGGTATTATTCTTTTCACGTGTGAAAAACATCGTTCCTCTGATTAGCTAGAACTCATTTTCGTATGAAAATTTACGACATAGCCGGTTTTGGTGAGTCGTTTCTCAGTATGTAGAAAGCGTGTTATTAGACTGGGCAAACCTTCCAACACTAAAGAACCGAAGATTGCAGGACATCACAATAACAATGTGTAAAGAAAAGAATGATCTTTTGCCCTCAGTACATCAAATAGTTGCAATCTAAGAGTGAAAGAGTTTGTTACCTAGGTTTAATACAACAAGCTATGGTAAACATTCCTTGAAGTACCTGGGACCTCAACTTTGGTCATGTCTAGACTCAAAGATATAGGGAACGCACCATCAATTAATGATTTTATAACGGCTGTAAGAAAGCAAGATTTAGATACCCTAGTAACCAACAATTGTAAAAACTGTTTATTATCTAGTATCTATGTATTTGAAAAAAGTCACTATTTTTCTTAATTATTATTGTCATTATTTTATCTTTCAGTTAGACCCATGCATCGGAAGAGATGGTAAGTATATCATTATAATCTTAATTATAATCTTGATTTTCGCACAACCTTGTTCCCGGGTTCTCTCTCCCTGGCAACAAGGTCGGATTTTCGCAAAGTTTGCGGGATGTCTTCAAAAATTCTCTTCCCTTGCCACCACCACCACCACCACCACCAGTTAAACTACGGTTGAACCTCCCAACTGGGGAACCTCTGATCGCCACCTCTCATAAACCACCAGCTATCTAAAAAACCAAAAGTTTCCCGGTCAAAGCCATATATTTGGACCTCTTCAAAACGACCACCTCTCTAAGCGAACCCGACCACTTTTCGCGTTCACAACTTTTAGAATTTTTATTGTTTTTAATCTCTTATAGACGACCGCTTGACGCATGACGCATGGTTTGATCTCTGCGGCGGTTCGCTCTATGAATTCCCTTCTCATATTATCAGGAAGAACTTATCTGTTTCAGTGAGAATCTACAAATGTCATCCTAACATTAAAAACTTTGTATTTTTTTTTTCAGTTGCACCCAGTTATTACCATTATCGTTATCGTTATCATTATCATTTTGTGTCAATTTTTTTTTCACTTATTTGTCGTTTGTGTATTTCATTAATCTATCTATTTTTTGTTCATTTCTTTAGGTGAGGCTTCCGACTATGATTTGTATTTTCCGCAGAAAACCCTGACAAGTTATGTCCACCAGAGCTGGTTTGCGAACCTAAGCATGTTCACCGTTTGCTTTTGGATGAAGACTGACGATTTAAGCGAGGGCACAACATTTAGTTACGCCGTGCGAAAACCGTGTTGTAATGAAATTACGCTTTTCAAAAGGCATTTGGCAATTCAAAACCAAGATAGGTATGCATCCCTGGTTGTTGTAATTTTATTAATTCGTAATCCTTCTCAAATTCCTTGAGTTAGACTTAACCTTCTCAAAAAAGAAAAGAAATTGCGAAATTCTGTCTACAGCCACCTAACCACAAAACTAAACAAAAAAACACATAAGCAAACAACACAGTAAACAAGCTAAGACAGGGGAAGTTGAGAGAAATTAAAAAATGTTTGCAAACCCGGTTTTCATAAATCCAGGTGGATTTTAATCTGTACCAATAACAAAAAAGAGAGGTCTTTATGTCCATACAAAGAGTGCATCGGCAAAGTTCTGATCTTCAGGCTACAAATACACGTTCAGAATGAATAAATAAGTGAATGAATAGATAAATAATACAATAAACAAATCAAAGAACGAATAAATGAATGGATAAATGAATGAATGAATGAATAAACGAACGAAGAGATGGCATAATGAATAGGCGATTAAATGCATATACACACATGCACATGTACAGTCGGTTATCCTTGACATTCCTGGTGATAATAACAATTTGACAGTATGGAATCCTTAATTTAGAAATGTCTTCCATGGTTTGTTCATATTTTGTTCTTCTTAACATTTCTTTTCTTTCTATATCAGGGCAATTCTTCTAGGCAAATATTACGACGGACATCAGCACCATGTTTGTATTACCTGGGAAAATACGGCTGGATCCTGGAATTTGATCGTGGACGGTCACGTGATTAACAACGGAAGCAGATTTCGTGTGGGGCACGTAATTCCTGGCGGAGGATATTTAGTAATTGGTCAAGACCAAGACAAATTTAGAGACCCTAGTGGGTTTGCCTTTTCACAAAGCTTTGTGGGAAGCATCAGTGGGCTCAATATGTGGAGCCACGTACTGCCTCGTAATGAAATACTGCGCATGTGCAAGGCCTGTAACACAGGAACTGGAGATATACTCAGATGGTCCGATTTTTTTAACTCCAGGCATGGAGATGTAGTCGTCAGGTGCCCTTCTAAGTGCATAGTTTAATTCATTACCGCTTTCATTACTTAGAAAAAATAAATAGATCACTGTCACTTCCGGCAAACCAGCTTTTGGGCAAAAAAGAAAAAAAAGTCAGGTATAAATAGCTATTAATTAAATAAGGCTAATCTTCGGGGGTGGAAGCGGAATCATGAATCATGAATCATAGTTACAAAACATCAAAGAATCTTGAATCTTTGTACTTCGGCTCGGGAATCATGAATAACGAGACTCTGAGAAAAGCTCAACAAAATACACATATGAATTAATTGCGTTCGATCCACGGAATGCAGGATATGGCGTTTCCAAGAGTCCAATTTCCAAACTTTTTTCCGGGGGAACATGCCCCCGGCCCCTCCTATATAATTCGTGCATTCGGGGCTAACAGTCCACTTGTTTCTCCAATAATCTTGTGCTTAGTGTTCAGTTACAAAAACACTCCATGCCAAGACAAAACGATAATTATAGCAAGTCTGAATGAAGCAGAAGTTTGAACACCAAAAAATACTAAACGAGACTAAGTTGCCCCTGAGAAAATCATTAAGTCAATAGGTAATCAGAAGTCTTCGTGAATCATGAATCTGAATTCTTGTAGGAATCATGAATCATTGAGGCAAAAACGACAGGAATCTTGAATATCAAGATTCAAATGATTCCACTTCTACCCCCGATAATCTGAGATACTTTGAAGATATTTTATTCCTTCTATTGGAGTGTAAAATTTTCTTTCGACGTAAATTCCTAAAGGAGACAATTAAGGTATTGTATGATCGACGCATTTGACAAGTAGTTAATATTTCATAATCATGTACATACATTGTATTCACAAATGGCGGACACACGGGAAAAAACTGGTGCCTGGTCATGAAAGCGAGGCGTTGCAGGATGAACAAAAATTGCAAATAAAGACTTTCAACGAACTTGCAGAGTGTTCAGCACGGATTCCGCCTAAAATGACTTTGTGCGGACTTCTTTTTAAGTACGATTACGTGGGATGTCTTCAGTCATTAATGTTTAGTACTGATTTCCTGTTTACAACCAAAAGAGACGCGTATATCTTCAAGAAAACAGGATGATTTTGTAGGTTTCAGAAGCATCAGAGCAGCCAACTCGAGATGGCGATGTGGGCGATAGCTGCATGCAGAAAAGTGGCAAACATGTTGGCCCAAACTTCAAATTGCATTAAACCGAGTATGAAAGCAAGCGTACAATTCTGTAAAACAAAAATAAAAACAAAAGTTGTTGCCAAGAAAAAAAGAGATAAGCGACAGATATATGGCCTACTTGTCGACGAAAGAGACCTCCGCCGTTACACAAAACAGGTCAAGACGAGATGGAAAAAAGAAAACGGCTGAAGGATTCATTCACGAGTGAAGAGGAGGAAGAATTGTTATAAATTATCAATAATGTTTCTTTAACTGAATTTTGCAGTCGAATGAATATAACCCAAGACTTTAGTGTATCGCTTTCTTCTTTTATTAGTAGTGTAAACAACATAACTTCCGCAGTGGAAGATGTGCTTTTCTATGAGGTACCGGGGGCTTTTGTAGTGTCAAGATTAACGCGCGAATAATCCCTGAACAAATCTTCAGCTGTTTAAGTACTCAAATAAATTGCTTGCTTAAGTGAGGTATTGTCAGTTTCTGTTTTCTTTTCTTTTGTTTGTTTGTTTGTTGTTGTTTTTTTTGGAAGTTAAATTTTAAACGCCAATTAATTCGGAGTCCCACAATGACTGGTGTTTTGTGCGTAATCAATCTCCTGTAAAGTGACAATCTCACAGGTATTTGAATTAGGTTTTAACTGTTTTTGCAAACTTCAAGACAGTCCAGAAATTCTTAAATGCAAACATGCCTGTGATCTAAATTGTACACACTAATGTAATGCAAAATGCCTATTAAAGCTACATTTCATCAGTAGATAATTTGTTGTCTAACACGGAATCACACTACTAAAGTCGCAATGACCCAGCTTTACACTGGCAATCGGTGTTATACACAGAGCTTTTGTCGAATGGAGTATTATCCCGGCCTTTTGCCTTTAAGTGAGAATGAACTCATTCCTTTAATGGCTGACCCAGGAATCATAATTGGGGACCTACTGCCTGTGGGAGTAACATTTCATATACAGTACTCCTTTTCTTTCCAGTTTCCAAGCTTAGCACATACCAGGAACCAAAGGACGAGGTTAGAACAAAAGCTGTTACGTACTACTAATAAGATAATAAACAACTGCCATATATGGGTGTTAAGTAAAATCCAAATAGTGGTCTATTATCAATGAGGCGTTCTGATTGGTTGAGCTACTACTAGGCTATATGTAGCGAAAAGCGCGAAAAGCGCGGGCTTTTTGGCGGCAAAAAAGGATTAAAGTCTACCTTTAACTAGCTAAAAATTTTTTGTTCTCGATATTTTTGACCAACTAGTTGGATTTTACTAAAACAATTATTCCTCTCGCCCTCGTGGCCTCTGAGTCAATCTATTGAATCAGAGCCCATTCGGGCTCGAGGAATAATTGTTAAATATCCCTGGAACAAAATGTCAGTCCAATCTTTATTCTTTGTAGTGAATAAAATGTCACAAAGAGTCCAGGCTTTTAGTGTGTTGTCCAGGATCCCACTATAACTCAGTAATCAATCAGTCACCTAACCAGAAGCAGTAACTGCCACTCAGTGATTAAAATAATTATAATTCCAAGACTAAAAAACTAAGAGGCTTGGTCTTTGCATTGTCTACGAGTACCAATTTTGGTGACTTTCTATTTAAAAGAAGATTTTTCACTAAAACCCTTCCTAGATCTCTTCTACCATGCAAACTTTAGAGAATAGTGCACATAATTATTTTTAATGGTTAATACACTTAGTATCGTGAAATGAAGAATGTGTTGAAAGTAGCTAAGTAGTTTTCCCTCTGACAAATGGCACTACTGATTTCAGTCCAGACCAAGGGGGCTCATTCTGTGAACATCTTTTTCTTGGTGTATTAACTACAAGACAGTCCCACCAAACGCCCATTTGACCTTGATCTTAGTTTTGAAAAATGCAAGGTGGTTACTTTCACCAATGGTTTGACAAGAAGTAATGTCCAACACACCTCTCTAGCCATTGATCTCAGTTGATCGATGTATATATCTATGTCTTTATTAATTTACAACTTCCTTAGGATCATGATCGATTAATCCCATCGCTTTGAAGTGAATTGTTGTTGCTGAGATGTACGTTGGTAGAGCTGAGCAAAAATCTCATGATTTCTTTGTCTATGCGAAATAGAATAGTTTTATCAAACTTAGAAGCTGTAGTGTGTGTATCTTATGACTTCCTATTTGTCTGGTCTCTTTAAGGGTATTATTTCAGAGAGCTCTTGCTAACAAAGCGGCAAAAAGCTCACATGTTACAGGTTAAAAATAAGTAATGGAAGCTTATGCAACTTTAAAGCCGGTGCAATATTCGTGTCAGAACTAAGCACAGCAAGCTTCTGTTTCGAACAATTAAATTCGAGTTTGGATCTATAAGAAGACCATCATTTTGTTTATGTATTCTTCAAACCTAAAATATTATGGAATATAAAGTTAAAACAGTGGTTAAAACTCTTAACAGCAAAAGAAAAAAAATACGAAAATTACTCGCTGAAATGATGTAATGCACCTATCAATGTAAATCCCGTGGGGGGAAGAGTGCGGGCAAGGGGCGGGGATTTGATGCCTGAGACTATCCCCCTGTCGGGCTTTTGATCGTGCGAAGCGACCCCGGGGTCGGGACTTTTGACTTTGACCGATAGAAGCCTGGTATCAATTCAGAAGCGGTAAGCAAGTCCGTCCCTCGAGGCTTTCTGAAAGTCACGCTGTTGGAGAAAGTCATGAAGTTTTTATTTGTTTTAATCGCCATAATCCGATACTTTCATGCACACTGTCATCTAAACAGATAATGTCTATTTTGAGAAAGTTTTTATCTTCAAGTTCCCATTTGATTGTAAACCTCGATTGAAATCGAATTCTAACCATGAAAATCAGAGGATTTTTTACAGGTCACTGATCCGACCTGTTCCGACATTTTGAGCCGATGTTATAAAGCATTTTACGTTTCATTAATATAATAGCACGGTCAATCTTCCTGGAGTGATTATATTGTTCAAAATAAGAGATACTAGAGGAGCGAGAAAATACTTAATTACAGCGAGTAATTTAACGGAGCTTACGTTAACCTTAAATAAAAGTAGTAAGAACGTACTTTTGAAATGTTCTTTCATTCGTTTTATATAGTATTATAGTATTGTTTGTTTAGATTTTTCCCCTTGGATGGGGACTTACATTGATAGGTGCATGCATAACGCTTACCGAGTAACAAATTGAAATTTTGAGCGTACTCCACAGCTCGCGATCGATCGCTCCTGCATTTAAACTAAAAAATTTAGTTCTTATTGATGTTCTTCATCGATAAAGACCAGAGAAGGATGTCCTGGCAAACAAAAAAGCAAACATAACTTCATCGAAACCTCAGTCACCTCTTCTTTCCTGTCTCCCTTTTTCAATCTCGACTAGAACTGTTTTGCCGGTTCAATGGCGGAAGTCTCATGCGTTGAGTAGTAGGCCATAAATCCGTCGCTTATTTCTTTTTTTCTTGCCACCAAGATCTGTTTTCAATTTTTGTTTTACAGAATTGTAGTGAGCTGGCTTTCGTGCTCGGTTTCAGTGTAAAGTTTGGGCAAACATGTTTGCTGCTTTATAATTTCTGCAGCCATCGCCCACTTGTCGAGCTTCTGATCCTTCCGAAACCTACAAAATCACCCTGTTTCCTTGAAGATATACGCGTCCCTTTTGATTACAAACAGGAAATCAGTACTAAACATTAAACGCTGAAGACAACCCACATAATTTTGTTTAAAAAGAAGTCCACACAAATTCATTTTAGGTGCAATCCGTGCTAAACATTCTGCAAGTTCGCTAGCAGCGCCTCGCTTTCATGACTAAAGGTACCAGTTTTTTTCCCGCGTGTCCGCCATTTGTGAATATGGTGTATGAAAGCACCAGTAGCATTACGGTTTACCTTTGACAATTTTTGAGAGAGAAGTGAACCTATTTATATTTCTATTGTTATCATTATTTTTTTTTTCCAGTTAAAACTACGTAGAGATTTATAAATAGTATGTTAATGTTGCATTATAAGCATTACGAACCATGTCATACTAAAACTGCAAGTGTAACTGGTGTGAATTCAAGCAAAATCAAAGTAATAAATCTAGTTTTTGTACCATGATAATGAAGAGGACTACTTTGCTATGTCATCTCCTTCTATAAGGATTTGATAGTCCTTTTTATTGCTTTTTGACATAGTATTGAAAGTGAAAAGGAGGCCGATATTGTATCTATTGTATCCATTCTTTCTCCAGAAATAATTAAGGAGGAAAAAACACTTAAACACGTTAATTTCAACTTAGCCTCCGGCACATTCAAATAATAGGAATCAAAAGTACAGGAGGAACAACAGGTAAAAATAACTGAGTTTTCTTAGGTTTTTCCTCGTAGTCTCGTTATGTAATTATCCAGGTCCCGAATATCATAGAAGCGGTATCACAACCTTAGTTAAAGTAATAACCCCAATAATATTATCAAATTCTAAATGGTTTGTCCCTGTGAAATAAAAGCAAAGTTATATCCCAATTATGAATCAAGTCAGTGAGGCTGGGTTTTGCATCACCCGTTTCGTCGCATTTAAAAAATATCATGACATATAGAGTCGTTCCCATCGAAAGTGGCGTACATAGACTTCGGGCTAAAGATCTATATTTAAACCGAGCGAGGGAAGAAACGGTCTTTTGCGAAAAAATTAACAGTTATAAACTTTTTCATCCACACACCCATATAAGTACGGCAAAAAACGTCTTCTTCCCAATCATTCTTTTTTTTTTTTTTTTTTTTTTTTCACATAATCCATGATCTAATTCATGATCGCTTTCTAAGTTGTCTTTTTTGCTTGGTAGGCCTTACATTTGTTTGTTTCGTTTTTGCCAAATCATGGATTTCTGGACGTTTTCAGTTCCAACAGCGTATTTGACTGTCATCGTGATGAGTGTCACAAACAGCTTACATTTCAGAAACGAGAAATCAGCATCCGCTTATTTAAAAAGTTTTACAGGTAAAGTATTTTCTCTATTCGGGGGCTTTATGATGGCGTGCTGGCGTGTGAAACTGGAGTAAATAAAAATCAACATTAATGAAGCTTTGTACAATTAGGGGCTCTCCCAAAGACCCCGCTACTCAGCGGGGGATAGGCTATGTCATCCCTAATAACCTAGATTTTCCCACGATTACTGAGTGATTTTTCTTTTAATAATAATAATAAGCTTTCTGTTATGAGAATTCTCCTTCTTCCAAGTTATATTGTACATTCTTGGTCTTACACTGGTGGACGGCCGATTTCGAGTAACTCCCCGATACATTCCTCTTTGACTGGTGTAGCTATAAATAAATTCTGACCCTGCAAGCCATAGAGCCTCCAGTAGCTCAATGGTTAGAGCATCCGAACTAAAACTCGAAGGGTCGTGAGTTCGATTCTCACCTGGAGCTTGGATTTTTTTCTGAGCTTTCTGGTATAAGAATTCTTCTTCTTCCAAATTATAATTATCATTATTTATCATCTTCATCATCGTCATCATTATCATCATTATGACTGAATTTTTGCCATCAATGTATAAAATAAGATGCGTTGTAATGATGTTTACATGAACGTGTGTCGCATTTCAATTTTCAGGTCAAGTACTAAACAGCCACGTTATTGCTCAATACCACGTGAAATATGAACTTTCCTGTAGCATGAGATGTGTTGCTCACAATACATGTTTGTCCTATAACTACCAACCAATCAGCAACTTGGAAAGAAATATACTCAACTGCCAGCTGAACAACGCGACTCGCCTGACGTCACCTGAATGTTACCTACGTCAACCGGGAAGAATTTACAGCGAAGTTGTAGACGTAAGCATGTACTTGAAAACCCTACAAACTCGGTGGAATCAAACGATACCATGTGTACAATAACAATTTAGATTTATCTAAATTAAAATAATTCTACAATTTGACCTCGACTAGAAGTGTATGTATTTGGCTTTCGATGGTCAAGGATTGAAAGGAACTGCAACTTGAAAACATTGGGCCAACTTTTTTAAGTTAAACTCCTTGGTTGTAGAAAATGGCCGAAGAAAAGAATTAGTTGATATCTTTTCACTTTTGATGTTTACTCCGTAACCAGTCTCATCTATTAACAACTTACTGGGTGGCAATCGGCAAATACGTGAACAACAGTCTCGTTACCGGAGGGTAATTGCTAATAAGTCATCAACACAAGATTTGAAGATTCAAATTTCCCGTTACAATTATAATTTCATCTTAACTACCTCTACCATAAATTCACTGTCTTTATAAATTAATTTGCACGACCGCTTATATATTGCTTCAGTTCCTAAAATACGATTAATAAATGGAAAGTGCTTACAATAGTTAGATTGAGATTCAGGGCTTGAAATTTTTTAAAAAAATGTATCTTCTGTGTTGTTGATATTTTCACTGTATCTGGCAATAGTTAAGCCAACGCTTACTACAAACATCCAAAGATGTTTTTGTCAATCAAACTCCCAAATCATAATTTATGGCATTAGTCTTGCAGCACTTCAGCATTATCGATAAGATGTCATCATCATTATCATCGTCATCACTACCATCATCATCATCATTATCATTATCATCATCATCATCATCTTCACTATCATTGTCATTGTTATAATAAATATAATTTTTATTACATTTTCTATAGTTACAAATTGCAACACACATCCTTGAGGATAGAAGTGTGAACGAGTCTCGCTACAGCTCAGGTGAATTCAATGAGTCATTCCACTACCAAGTTTGGTGACAAATAACGAAAAAAAGGACAGCTTCTGTCACGAGGGGCGCAGTTTCTGGGGGAGAGGGGGCTGGACAAATGACTCCATATTTCCATATTTCTCGGCATGGTCGATTTCAGAATATAAACACCCTTTTTAGTTTTGCCGGGAATCAATAACCTGGAAACCAGGTTGATATCGATACATAGGATATAACTGGTTTGAAGCGACACTGCTTGGGCAGTATACCACTTAATTGAAAGTATATTGCTCGCTTCCTTCAAATTTGGTTAAAATCGGCTGATTATGTAGAATTAGCTAGCTTGGGGTTTGAACTAACCAGAAATGGCGAAATATTTGAATGAATAATTACTAGTTATAACAATCATGGCTTTTTAATTTTTAAAAAAAATGATAATGTAAACTAAAAGTACACATCTGCAGACTTGCAAACTTAGAGAAAAAATGATAAGAATAATGTAGTAAAAAAATGTGACTTAGAGATAAAGGTTACGTAAAATTCCCAAGGTGAAAGAAAGCTTCAAATTTACATTAAAAGTTAAAACAAGATTCAATGTATTATTTTAATTTATTCCATAGGGACACTCTTGTAAACACTTCGGTCTACTCTTACAAATAAGCAAAACAATTTTTAATGTGTTCAATAAAAATGACATTCTCGAAATAAACTGTTGTGTTATATAACTTTTAAGTTTCAAAATTATTAATATATTGTAAGGCAGTAAACTAAGGGCTACAATTTGCTATTTTTTTTGTCAGAAATTATTTCGTATCTACAGGTGAGCTGGCTTAATCGTGTGTTAAAGTTAACATTCTTTCGAGGAACAGGGCGATGAATAACATATTCCAATAATCCTGGATTCCGATACAAATTTCCGCATTGCACAAAGATTAACTTCCTGGATTCCGGAATCCCAATAACCGTGCATGAGGCGAAAGCAAGGAAGAGGCCGGTGCATCCCATCACATTTCTTTAAATTCTGCCTAATTTCATATAATTTTTCATTGATTCTACAGAGCCACCACTGCCTTACGACCTCACCTTTCCAATGAAGGGTCTGAGCAGCTATGTTTCTCTGACTTGGCCGACCAATCTTTTCAAGCCAGTGGTTAATCTCACCTTGTGCCTCTGGATGAAAACCGCTGACTCTGAAAAAGGATGCCCGTTCAGCTATGCTGTAACGAGTAGCATAAACGAAGTGACAATATGCAAGGGTACAATATACATCCACGATGAACACAGGTAGCTTGTTAGAAGTGTAGGCTGAAGTCATGTTTTTTGTTTGTTTGTCAAAATTCCAAGGATTAACCAAATACTGACTTCAGGCCAAATAGTCTGTAAACATTGTTGATTTTATTCAGTGTTAAAAGACTGACTGTGTTAATATCGTATAAGGGAATTCGAACATATAGTACAAAGGGTGAAAATAAGGTTAGTTGTACTCGGCTGTGTCGGGCAAAAATGATCAGGGGAGGAGCGCGGGCTAATTTCCAGAACAGCGGCTGGTAATCGATGAACCTTGGAGAAAGACCGCTCCAACTTGAAAGTGACGGATGCATGCAATGGTAGTCTTGCTTAAAATGTTCTGAACGGAAGGCCAATACTTGATCTTTACCCATAAACGCATCGTTTTGCGCCATGCGTTAAGAAATTCGTTGATAAAAAATAACAAATGCCGTCATTATCGGGACATTCAGTGGAAGCCTTTGTGGGAGGAGATAGTTTCAGCAGGCTCTGTTAGGGATCCCATAAAGCCTAAGCCACGCTCATCTTGGTTAAAGTCTCATCAGTACTTACGAGTATCCCCGTCATTTTCATAAGAGAGTGAAAACCCACACCCCACCCCTCCTTCTCTATTTCCCGGGAACAAGGAATAAGATCCACCCAAATGAAGCGGAAGGAGATCGCCACGCTGCCCTTAATAAATTTTAGTTTAGCTTTTGTTATGAGTTTTGGTATAGCGTTCTGATCTTACAATAATTTGTACTTGCACAGATCCACCTCTTTAGGCAGTTTTTTCGACGGCAGATGGCATCATGTTTGTTTGGTGTGGATGAACACTGGTCACTGGCAAGTTTTTGTGGATGGTGTGATAATAAGTAATGGGGACTCTCTCCAGGTGCATTACAAAATACAAACTGGAGGCATGGTAATAGTCGGTCAAGAACAAGATTGCACGCAACATTGTATTCCCGGAGATCCCGACGGCTTTCAGATGAACCAAAGCTTCATAGGAAGCATCACCGGACTGAATGTGTGGGACAGAGTATATACTGCGGATGAGATACTGAGCATGTCACAAACATGTAATCCGCAAACCGGAAGTGTTCTCCAGTGGTCAGATTTTCAGGTTTCATTGCATGGCGAGGTCCTAGTGGAGTCTCCTTCAGCATGCAAAGTCAGCACTAAATGAAATTATGTGCAAGCAGAGTGAGATCCTCTCAAACCGATGAGATAAAGCGATCTATCCACTAGCTGTTTTTATTGTTGTTGTTTGTTTGTTTGTTTTTTTTTTGTTTTGTTTTTTGCTTAATAGAAGGCAAAAAGCTTTAGTTCAATAAAGTTAAATAGCCTTTCTAAATGCGATATTCAGGACCATATACAGATATACAAATAATAAAAGACGTCCTCTTTCTGTTGATAAGATTTAGCAAAAGAGGTTTACAGAATTAATATCACAATTATTCAAATAACTAAACAAGTGCGGAGCTTTAGTCCCATTAAAAATAACAAGGTCGCCGGCTCAATTAATCATTTCCAAGGCTTCGGTAAAGGCCGTCTTTGAAATGGTTCCATTTGAAGAACAGTACACAAGTAAATTCTTCCGAGAGATCCTGAAACGAAATATTATCCTGTTAGATGTGTTCACTGTAAAGACAAACATAATCGTCAACAACTGGAAACTAGTCACTATTAAAATAGCTCCCTCACAAATGCTCCATGCTGTGACATTTCAGGAAGGGGTTGACTCTTAAAAATGATATCTACTCCGGAGGTTAGGGCGCCAAATCGTATTGCCAGGAGCCCCTTTGATCTGGAAGTGGGGTATAAATTTAAACCTATGGGTCTGAGACAAAGGTAGGGTTTTATGACCTTAATTTGCTTTGTACAAAAAAAAGCAACTTAAAATTTCAGTGGAGCTCTTTCTATAGATGGTTTTCACAGTGACGTCATCCAATTGCAAAGTCAAAATAGTGAAGTTTTACAAATTCTTATTTACACTAGGCTGAAAATAAACAAAAAATAAATCTTGGTAGAAGTTTCCAGTCCCGTAGCATGTTTCATTTCGAAAATACATTAATTTGAACTTCAGAGTTTTCACAGTGCGTGACAGCAAAATTGGAATGCTGTCTCGTTGAAAAAAAGTCTCTCCTCTTGATTTTCAGCAGTATAACCATTTCAAGTATTAGAAGATATGTTTATGTGCACGTATGCTAGTTCTCGAGTGAAAAGAAAGAGCTTTTATAGAAAAAGTGAACTGCAGATGTTTTTGTTGATTTCCGGCGGTCATATTGGTGTACCAAAACGGTGCACCAATAGGGCGTCTCCGCATACAAAGCTTACAAAGGAGTGGGAAACGTTTCGGCAAATAACTCAGAAACTGTGGGCGCCAAAGACCTAAGACTGGGACAAATTGTTTATATATTAGTCTTTTATAACATTTTATTTTCCTGGCTTCTTCCACTGGACGGTTTCCAATTTATTTTTTTGTTGCGTGACATTGAAAACAATCTATACTACTCTTTAAGGAAAGTTTAGAAAACGACATTGGTTCAATTTGGGCTATTATCTTGCTGCTTTCGTATCTGATAGAAAGGCGAACCTTATAAGACTTATAATGGCTTGCATTTTTTCTGTGTCTTACTATATGACCGTCTCAATAAAACAAGGTGCACATTTCGTCAAATTGACATTTTCAGTGTCTTGCAGGTGAACCTATAGAGAGGTATAAATTCTTACAAATATGGTTATCAGATCACATTATAATTTTCATGATTGATGTATTTATACCGGCGATTACCTTTTAAATGCGCGGAGAATGTTGAATCGTATTTTTGAAATTCTCTTAAAGGAACCAATCCCTTAAACTCGTCATCGTTTTCCCGCCGTGACATGCGTTCCTTGAGTTGCATGACCAGCAGTTTCCAGCCATCACCTCTGTTCAGTTGATGAGCGATATTCTGGAACGTGTTTCTGCGGACACAGTTCACGAGGTACTTTTGCTGGTCTTTGATTCCTCGGGACTTACCTTTATGATAAATAACAATAAAAAAGAACCAGCATTTATAAATGAATGAATGAATGAAGAATGGCAGGAATGAAGGAAGGAAGGAAGGAAGGAAGGAAGGAATAATCCAATGAATGAATGAATGAATAATCCAATGAATTAATGTTACTCATCCAATCTGATGAATTCGAATCCTCGCTACAGTGAATTTACCGTGAATTTACCTATATCAAAGTTTCGTAAATACACAAAAGACCAATTTTGTAATTGACGCTGATGAATTTTCGCACCAAAGTTAAAACACAGTTTGTCGCTCAATATGTTAATGGGATACCGTAAAATTCCGAAAATAATCCCCTCCAAATATAAGCCCCCCAAACTCGTAACGCAAAAAACCCTCCGTTAAATCACCCCTCTGAATATAAGCCCCCCAGGGGGGCTTGTACTTGGAAGTTGCCCTCAAGTACAAAGCAAAACAAAGCAAAAATGGTAAGGCTATAAGGCTAGCCCAATCGGTTTTGAAACGCAAATTTCCCTCCATAGATAAGCCCTCCAAAAATAAGCCCTAAAAAAGGGCCTTTGAAAAATATAAGCCCCGGGGCTTTATTTTCGGAATTTTACGGTAACACAGATAACCTACCGACTAGAAGATTAACGCAGGTTACCCTTCTTTTGAACACGGCAACATGAATAGCTGATCTTCCTGAAGGCATTTTACGACAAGCATCAATGCCGAGACCCATTAGCCGAGACACAACTTTGGCATGACCTCGGTGAGAGGCGATGAACAGGGCGACATAACCGCGCTCATTGAAGAGTATTTGCCTAAACCAGCCACGCCCCGGCATTACTTGCCTGATGCCTGAGGCCATTACACCTGTAAGTACAATCACTCGATCATAAATGCTGGCAACAAGATTTTGAATGCATGGCCAACCATGAACAACTCCAAACTCTTTTAAGCTATGACCGCCAAACTTAGCGGTATCTGTTAACATTTGAAAGTCGTCGTAAAGTGAACGTCAACGTTGACGCCACCATAGCAACCAAAATCTGCATTTTTTTGGATGAAAAATGATTTAAATCTATTTATACTTATTAGATTATTATATCCTGGGGGTTTACACCTCATTAAGCAATTTTGTGGAATCAAATTAAAACGCCAGGATTTTGTCCCCTGATATCCGGCCAGAAGAACAAAGGTCCACATTTGGCCCCTGAGACATTTCCAACACGAAAAACCAAGAAGACGGCTGGAAAAACGCCTCACCTTCCTAAGCATGCCTAGCACCTTGCGCACACTAGCACGCATACCTCAACATGGATACCAGTGAGCACATAAGTTCCATTTTTCCTGCTAATCTCGTTGTTAAAAGAAGGAAAATACAAATTCGTCATCACTTCATGTCAATTGTTAGAAATCTGAAGATGGATTCTGTCCAAATTTACCCAAAATACCCAGTTTAGTTTATACTGCTGGGCTTAAGTGTTTAAACATGAGTATGTAACTATTGTGTTTAGGGAGAATGGGTGTGACAAAATTGTATTCAAAGAAACATTAAGCTATATGTGTCATAAAGGTGTTCCGTATCACAGTTTAAAGCCATTGCGTGGAGCCGAGATGAAATGTTCTTTCTGTTCTGACCCACTGAACAATGACTGACGGCCCTTGTATGGCAATGTGTTGTAGAATGAAAAACCAGTGCTACAATAGACATGCAGAGCAATTGGCCACTTTACAAACAAGAAGGGAACTGGAGCCGAAATGCATCCTACGATATATTGTTTGAAAAAAGCGTTACTTTCATGTTTTAACCAGTAATAAAAATACGACCTGTATGAGAAAAATAAAACAAAAACAAACTCAAAACAAAAAAAATGTACCGGGAAATGTAATGCGCAAAAGGAGAGAATAAATTGTTATTATTGTTCATTCAAATATTTCCCCGATTCTGATTGGCTAAAACCACACACATAATTCACCATAGCCAGCTACTGATGAACAAATTTGGAAGAATTTTGCGCTTAATCAACCAACGACGTCAAAAGTGTAGTTTCCTTGCGGGTTAAAACAACCCTAAACGTGCACTATCAAAGATGAACTTAACATTGATAGAGGTAAGCATGTTTTAGCTATGTTTTTAAACTAGGAATTATTTTGAATGAATAATAAAACAATTATTGAATTCGCCTTTCGTATCATATGAAGAATTATGGAGATCTCGGAAGGTGTTATTTGCCTCAGCCTACGACCTTGACGGATAACACCCTCCTCGATCTCCATAATTCTTCATAAAATACTCAGCCTCATTCATTAATTGTTAATTATTGTTTGTGGGAATGTCAGTCGGAACACGCTTTTCGACTATTGGCCATTTTCCCCTGTGCCTGGTAACAGTCTTAGAAATCTTTGCGAAAGCTAAATCAGCAAGGTTTCCTTCGCATTCTAAATTGGCGAGTTAACAGATAATTAACTTAAGTACACTAGTTCAGCTTACTGCAGCCTGAGAGCAAGCTCTCCAGAGAACTCTGGCAGCGAATTGGGGAAAGAAAAGAGAGCATGCAATGTGTCTCTGAAATTTGAATTCCAATTCCAATTTCCTTGTGACTCCCAGTCAACTGAGCTGTCAGATTTCGGCCAATCAGCACAAAGCAGAAATGAGCGCGAATGTAAACAAACATTGAAAAACACGTGCCAAGGGTGATGACGTCATTACTAATGTCATCTCTGCCAATCATTATTTTGCATCGACTTTTTCGATGCAGATATTCAAATTCCAGAGACGTAGTAGCAAGCTCTCCTTCCTTTTCCTGCCCCACCACCAGAGCACCCTGGAGAACTTGCTCGCAGGCCAAGGTTATTGCAGCCACTTCAGTTTTATAAGTAAAATAACAGTGATGAGGTAACATATAATGTCAGACGATTATTAAGAACATAAATTTAATGATACAGATCTAACATACATTTTTTTACTGCAGTGAAATAGGGACCTGCTATACTATAAGAATATACATTTTTTCTCACAATTAAAAAATAGATTTTAAAATCCAAATATATGAATCAAAGTGAATGATGTTTTATTATCGAGTAATATTATTACAAAACTACAATCATTTAAAAGGGCTGTGGAATACTTGAACAATGTAATTAATGGTTGGTATGTTAAGCTCTGTGAACTCCAAAAGCTTATTTACTTAAAGGAGAGTCCTGTTCAAACTTGAATGTGCAGGAACAAGGACAACCGGTTATATCACGTTCTTGTGTTTGTGGAAAGTCACCTCGCCTCGTATACAAAATATTCTATTTTCAAGAAGCAGGTGTAGGCCTTCATCGACACATGAAAAAGTATCATTATAATTTTTGTCCACTTTCCTGTAGTTTTTCATAAGTTTTCATCAATTTTTTTGAAGAACAGCTAACATGCATCTAACATTTTACGCTATGACATCCCATACGCATAATATATCCTCACATATGACTTTTATGAAAAGATCAGATAATACAATATAGCATATAGTTATATAAATGTATAAAAAAGTTAATAAAACTATATTGAAGACAAATATCAAGATGTTCCAGCTGTCATGTGCAATAATTTGTATCCAGTGAATAGTTTACATATTATGCTGAGGCCAGCCATGTCCATTCCAATAGCCATAATAAAACTCAAATATAATCATTTCCTTATGAAAAGAATATTTCACGTCAAATTGTTTATCCTTGTCAATAATGGCTTCCACTCGTTTCCCCCCTTCCAATCTTCTTTTCAGAAAACTTCCTCGGCCAGTACTCTTATCAGTTAAATCAGAAAACAGTTTTCTGACTTCTTTCTGTGAAGTAAAGGTAAACAAACAATTTGTTTGTGTTTTCATGCTAATCTCACCAAAGCTTGTCCGAGAAACAGTGGCTTCCACCATATCAAAAAGTTCCTTCGGAAGCTTTTCCTTCACGATTACTTTCCAAGGGTGTTTTACAGAACATCCAGGCGTCATCCGTCGCTTGAATTCCTTCACCCAGCCTATCGCCTGCCTTTGTAACATAGGGTATAATTCTCCGACCTTGTGCCTGAATTCTTCAGGCCTCTCAAAATGACGAAACGAAATTGGCCGAAGCAAAGACCTAACCTCCTCCAAGGCACTTTGCACTTTCTTTTTGTCAATTCCACTTTCCACCAGCTCCGCTTCAGCGGTAGCTAGAGCACCTCGAACTGTATTCATAAAAACGTTACATGCATCCGCCATTTTTTTGCTGATGGTGACACCACGTATCTACTTCTCGGTTGGTGTCAACCGCTGACACTTTACCTTGCAGGGTGTGCGTGTGTGTTGATGTTCTATTAGCCTGCGAATTGGTCACTAGAAAGCTAGCCTGCGAAAACATCCGTTTCTCTTCGCTCTTCGTCGCTTGGGACGTTTCGGCTAGCTTTCTAGTGACCAATTTGAGGATTAAAAAAACAACAACAAACCAAACAAACAAACAAACAAACAAAAACATAAAGCAAGGCAAAAACAAAAAACAACAACAAGAACAACATCAACAACAAAATGACCAAATAGCAAATGCTGAGTTAAATTTTCAACAGTGTTCATTTCTCTCGGAATTTTATAACTAGCAGTTTTTCCTTTTTTATGTTTTTTGGCATCCTATATACACCGATAAAATTTTATATCACGCTCACCTCTATTTTACCCAATTCAAATGGCAGATCCAAAATGGCCGATGAATCCAGTTTCTTCTTAACAATAACGACGTCATCATGACACCTTACTATTTTAGAATTTTTCTTTTTATCGCTACTTAGTTTCTAATTTGGCTAACTTTTCTTTTTATGGCTACTTCAGGAGAATGTTGAAAATATTGAGGTTCTCACAATAAATTCAATCAGACGACGTCATAACGACGTTAAGTTACGTCTTTATGTCAATCAAGTTGCATGGAGCACATGTTGCATAATCCTGAAAATGGCCGTGAAGATAAAGGATTTGATGAGAATTCATGAAAAAGGTAATATATTCAAAAGATACTCGCTAGAGTTTTCAATAAAATACAATTTGCCAGGAACTCGTCTATTTTACTTTGCTTAATTGTTTTTGCTTCTTGTGCGGTTATTTCCCCGATCCGCTGCGATTTAAGCGATTTGCTTTAACTAGGGGTTAAAAGAATGCCGAAAATTCCTGATAACTTTAGTCTTTTAACTATAAATAAATAATAATAATAATAATAATAACAATAATAATAACAATGATGATGATCGTGATGATGATGATGATGATGATGATGATGATAGTGATAATGAAAATAAATTTGGAAGGATCTCTGTTTAATCTCTTTGATACAATAGCACAAAGGCTAAATACCTTAAGCAAATGGCTTAAGAGGTCAAGAATCCGGACTGGAAGAAAGAAAAAAAAACAGTAGGCCTGTTGCGAACATGCACCGCGCCAGAATCTATTTTATTGATCTCTGAATAGTATACTTCGGTGTTGAAGAGGATCGTACCTATTATTCGACTGTAATACATACCTTTGACGTCACCATGATATGAAGCTTGAATTAAAGATACCCACTGTGGCCAAAACTTCATTCTGAATGTGGAATTAGGTACTACGTGAAAGAAGGATAATCTCCTGTTGTCTTCCATATCAAGATCATCAAAGTACGTAAGGCGTTGTAGGTGTCTTTAAAAAAATGAAACGATAAGAAAAATTAAGATTAATTAGTAACTCAGCAAAGATAAAGGAAAGAAGGAAAAAAGAAAAAAAGAAAAGAAGAGAGTTTTAAAGAAAAGAACAAGAAGTAAATATAACATATTCTATTTCTTGTGGGGTATTTTGAGAAGGCATTTCTGTCCAAGTTTCCAACCAAAGTTGAAAATAATTAAATCATTCTTTCGCTCTGCTATATGTGTAAACAAATCCTCTTATTGGGTAAACGACTTTCTTATGCAAAACTTATATCTAACTGCAGTTACGCTGGTCAGAGCAAAATACAGTTTTTCATTAAAACTGCCCCCGTGGTATAGATGGAATGAAAACGAGACATATATAGACAAGACCATTCTCTCTTGACAAGAGATAATAAAATCTTGTTGTTGTTTTGTTTTTCCTATGTTCTTGTTTTGTTGTTGTTGTTTTTAGTCTTATTTTTTGTATTACAGTGTTATTGCAATAGCGTAGGTAATCCCCTTTTTGCACTGCGCATAACATTGCGACTTCACTGAAGGTGCCAGTGATACCCACTCTTCGCCTAAAGTGATTTTTATAACTCTACCCGCCGGTAAAGGTGTTTGTCTCGAAACTCGCACCACCTCCTCCAAGGGAGTTAAGAAGGACCTCAAGATCCGAGGACGACGACGGCAGAGAAAACGTCGCTGGAAAAGTGAATTCGCGTTCTTTCAATCGTCACCGCGATTACTCCAAGTCAATAACCTTGTCAAATGTAGGCGTACCCTCCTAAAGTTGAATTCCTAAGAACCATATCCAAGTTCAGAAAGAGAGAGGAAATTTCGTAGTCGCTTGTGTGCTTCCTCTGTACACCGTGAAATTAGACATTTTCACGTCGTAGTCGTGCAGTGACGGCAAAGAAATGTACAAAAAAGCGCAAAATTGTTGTTTTGCTAATTAAACCTATTGCTTTTGTGGCGTTTCCGTTGCTGTCGCTGTCGTCGGATCTTAAGGTCCCTAATAGTATTTTAAGCTAGGTCGTGAACAGTGGAGATATAAACTGTTATCATTTCTCTCTAGACGTTAACACTGGGTATTGGTTTGTTTGTTTTTAATTCCTTTTTCTTTTTTTTTTAATTTTATTTTAAAGAAACTGGAACACACGAATTTAGTTAAAGGATTTCAAAAGAATTGTTGCCAGCTAAAGGTTATCCTAACTTTAATCGTCACCTGAGCGTAGGCCTTCTCTCTGATTGACACGTTTTACTTAATCTCCGGTGAATTAAGGAATGGGGCACTGCAAATTCGGAGGGGGGTGGTCTGTTTTAGTAGGGATTTTACCTTTCGCATTAATATTTTAAATTCAATATGTACTCTCCATAAACATTCATTTTTCGTTGTTACTAATGTATTACTTATGTCATGTGACTTGTCACAGCAATTTTTGACTTTTTATTTCAATCCAAATTTACACCACTTTATAAATAACACTTGTAATTTAATTCACTTGTCGATGACTATTGACACAAAGTTTTTGGAATTAATCGGGGTTTTCTTAAATTATCTACGTTTTGTAAACTATGACGTTTCTTGTTAAGAGGGAGACTGGGACGAGAGAAAATATCTAATACAGTGGAACCTCGATTTAACGAACCTCTATTTAACGAAGTCCTCGATATAACGAACGATATCCTATGTCCCAGCCAAAGTTATAGTCGATATAACGAATTACAATGTCAACACGCGACAGAAGATAAATGCTGAACAGATCAACAGTCAACAAATCCTTTGATCCTTATGGTAGAGACAGCAACCTTTCAGACAAAGGCTTATTATGTCACAGACATTGGCGCGATAGTATTTCGACATCAATTAACCTCTGCTTTATCTTCTTTGTCTCTTATTAGTTCTCTTAAAGTCTTCCCTTTCGAAGGCTTCTTGTGATAAAACGTATATGTAGCCGGAATTTCAAGTCCAATGCCCTTGTTTCTCCGTTTACCAGTCACTTCCACAGAGATTTGTCCTCCGTGTTTTAAAAACAAGTGAAATACACGTGACAGTGTCAATGGCACACGGCCTACGATCTGCGGCATGCCTCCTTGATCTTGAACCCGTTTAACGGCAACAGCATGGGTGTCGAGTGGGTTATCAGGCTCGTGCTGCGTAAAAATACACATTCTACATACTGCGTATAAATGAAGTGCATCTCAAAACGCGGCACTTCGGGGTGACGAAAATTGTATTGAATTGCGTGACAGAAGTCACCTGTGTTACAAATCAATCATTAACTATGACCTCGATATAGCGAACTTTTTGGTCATTTCCCCTCAAATTCGTTATATCGAGGTTTTCGATTTAACGAACCCTCGATTTAACGAACAAATTTGGTCGGTCCCCAGCGACTTCGTTAAATCGAGGTTCCACTGTAATTACGAAGGAATGGGTCATTTCACAAATCCTCGATTAATTTAGCTTATTTGACTGTAAATGAAATATTATGGAAGGAAAAACGATTGTGGTCACATTCAGTAAACTGGTGTAATCTTCTACAAAGTCCTAATTTTGCATAATTATGGGCGTGGCTGGACACGTGATCTAAAAAAAAAGGATTGTTTAAGGTCTAAAGTAGTTCTGGTCTTAAACACAGCGGTCTAAGATCAAAATAAAGGAAGATACTGGAAAAAACAAGATCAAGTCATAAAACCCCGCATGTAACGAGGACCAATTCCTTAATTCACCGGAGATCCTCCTTTGAAACTGAGCCAATCCATACGTCCTTATGCTGACGATACAGACTTACAATGGCAAACAACAACGAATGCCAATGTTGCTAATCCTGCTGGTGAAGTCCGAATCGCTTGAAACATTAACTTCCTTTTTGTATAGCATTTACCTTATATTTACGAAAATCGTACCTTGGGATTCCTGTAACAAGCTCCACGCGATCTTTTAAAGCCAAAATGCTCATCGAGGTAACGACATCAGCTATTTTCACTGTTTCATCGAAGGGTAGAATAATCTTGACAGTAAAAGGACGGTTTCTAGCTGAAGAAACTTGGCGCCCCATCGTCAGTTTAAACTGTTATGTTACCGTGGACTTTTATGACTGATTGTTGACGTCAAAGAAACTTTTGTGCGCGCGCTTATATTTTAACGCCAGAAACCTTGCAGACCTTATTTGGCTTCTAATATCATGAGTGAAAAACTGCTCCTTAATTTTGTTGCCACATTTCAGCGTTAATTCATAATTTCACATGTCAAACTATCGAAATCTCAGGAAACGTTTTTTTAACAATAATAGCTAGCAATATCTTGGTGATCAAATTAAATAAAAAACGAAATGAAACAAACCTCAAAATATCTGGAAGCGTAGTAAAATTGAACAGTTTTTTTTTCAGAAATTTACTTTCTCGAGCTTTAGAATTTTCTGGGCAATTACGCCATATTTGCTCTTTCGAACAGTTATTTATTTATTTATTTATTTATTGCTTATTTAAGACTGGTATAGTGCCCCTGCAGTATCGACGCACAGTGACAATCACAATTAAGATCAGAAAACGAACGGACTAATATTTGCAAAAAATCATCGCACAACTAACATAGAAATTCAATTTTGCTATCAATCTTGTGACGTCATTTCCTGCCAAAAACCGTTAAAATCGAAAAACAAAAAACCCAGGATTTTTAAGATTACAAAGTTTTTCTGCCATCCTGTTAAGTTTGAGCTCAAACGAATAAAAAATGCAAGAGTTGCTCCTAGGATGCACCTTTTTGCGTCCTATAGGCCCACCGTGATAAGATTAGTTTAGAGAGTGTGTAGTTGACACCACACTCGAACTCAGCCCTTTTGCCTGACATGAGGTACAGAAGAAGTACCAAATACAGTGAAGCTTTAAGAGCTCTTAAAAACAATCATCTTTAAACAGCTTCGAGAGCCTGTTTATCATTATTTATCGAAAAAGTTTTAGAATGCTATTTTCCCACTCATGCTTAAATCCCACCCTTGAACTGTAGTGTGCAATATTGATGTATACATGCAAAATTCTGATCTTAAACTAAACGCGCTCATTCATAATTAATAATTATAATAAACAGTTCAAATAGTTAGGCGACATAAAATTACTGTAGCAAGAAATAAGTATAATTCATTTGCTCTACCATTCACAAAACATGTATGAATAGAGAGCTTTTTTCTGAGACGAGGACGACTACGAGTACGAGATTTTCTCAATGCTGAGTATTTCTCGAGCGTGAACCAGCGTCATTTTGGCGGGAAAACGTGATAGCCGTCGCAATTTCTACTACGAGTTTTAGCTAGAATGTCGTAGTGGCGGGAACAAGTTATCAAAAGTAAGAAGTTTCATCACTTTGCTTTGGGGGAGGATGTAGCCTCCTTCAGTACTAGCTTTTTAGGTGAAAAGAAGTAAAATTAAGCTATACATAATAAGTTTATTAGGAAGCGCAATAACGCAACAGAAGCATGTACCCTGCTGCCTATCTTATATCACATTTAATTTAATTCCCCTTTAGCTCAATGCAGTTTAAAAATCCAAATATGTTACAAACTATTGTATTTAATTTCTTCGGCACATTATTGTATAACTACAACACATTAAAATAATTATATCACTACATATTATATCATAATCTTAAAAGATAGAAAGTTTATTTCACCCGAAATCAATCTCAGTTTAAAAGGTACTCAACTAGTATAATCTGCCCAACCTACTTCACAGCACATAACTATTTGCCTGGCAAACAAGTCCCAAATAAAAATTCATAATATTTTTACACTACTCAATACTTCTAACGTTCGAAATTCAAATAAGGGAGTAAGAACAACATAATTTGATTGTTACTATTTTGTGTGATCTTTCTATTTTTACAAATCGTCAAACTAAAACCCACACACACAAAACATCTTCTAAACCTTCACTTCAATCTCCATCTAGAAGATTCATTTCAAGAAATTGATGCTATTTACAAGCAGTACCGAGGAAGGCGATTTTGCCGTTCACAATCGACCAGGCGCTATTTATAAAGAAATATTATGGTATATCCAGAAGAACGTCAAGCTGAAAATGTGCAATTGTCAAATTAAATTGAGCTTGTTAGTGCAAATTGGTAGGGGTATGTATACTACCTAACCGTAGTACCGTTATGCTCCGATGGCTCCATATAAATCCTTCTAAACTAGGTCTGAATCGTTGACGTTACGATCCAAACCAATCTTGGAAGGATTTTTATGGAATAATAAGAGTATAAAATTGCTGATACCTCGCTGATCATCTACACTATAAGGGTGATTTTTTTTCGGCTATGGGCTTTTTCAATTGTATTGTTTCTGGATATGCCAACTTAACCCATAGTTTCAAAAATTTGAATTTTTGTGATGTCTCACTTCTTTCGATATATTGTTGTACGTTGGTCCATATTTTAAAATATGTATTCACTTGGAATTTCTGCTGGGGTTTAAGTATTCATAAACCACTTGTCTCTTTTTGTTTCTGTCCAATATGGTCAGGGCGATGTACTTCAAGTCATCAAGGAATCTGCAAATTAAATAGCGAAAACTGAATGGTGATCTTTTAGGCTGGATGTTTAGGCATCATATTCGGAGCCTTAGAGTTCTCTGATTGAATCAAGCAGCAGTTGTCGGCCTCACAAGGAGCAAAAGAAAAAAAAAGCAAACATCCACCCCCGGTGGGATTCGAACCCACAACCTTTGAATTAGAAGTCCAATGCGCTAGTCCATTGCGCCACGGGGGCAACGCACGCTAATTCTTGCTAATTTACAACGGAAAATACAGAAAAAGATGGGTTTTCTGGTAATTGGGTGAATGCCCCAAAACTAAAAATTTAAGCCTAAGCCAGCATATTGTCTAATTACCTGGAAATTGCCTTTTTAGCGACCGGGTCATGCTGGTATTGAGCGTGAAAGTCTGCTAAGCCATTAGCGTGCCTCTCTGAGAGGAGCTTGTTAATGACTATGATGTCTACGCAAATGTTTTTGGGAGGAAGGCACACCAACAGATCCTTTTCTTCACGCCATTTCTACAAAACAGAAAAAAAGTCTTAATTTATATATCTCACTTTCGGCCAATCTTAAGCTGTATGTATGTACTATGTTCCTTCACACCGAGTGCGAACACCTCCTTATTAGTCCCATAGATACCAGTACTAATATAAATTAAAATTCCTACCTCTTAGAATGGGCAGCATTCTTAGAGAATTTTTTTCACTATCATTATCATCATCATCATCATCATCATCATCATCATCATCATCATCATCATCATCATCATCATCATATTATTATTATTATTATTGTGTCAATAAAAAAATGCTCGAATCTGATTGGTTGTTAACAGCCCATATTTATTACTTAATTTTGCTTATTGCAGCTCCAAAACTGTCTGATTTGACCTGTCTGGTTACCAAGAGCTTATAATCGGACAGGCCAAATTCGACACTTGAATCGCCAATGACAGTCAAGGGCTTCGTGCCGTTTATTGAAGTCCGATGAACTTACCTTATCTCTGGGTGGATTCCCTATTAAAATCGCAGGATAGTTGGGAAGAAATGCATATTCATCGTACTGTGAGACATTTACTGCAGCATGCCCAACCGTGCTGGCAAATAATATGGACGTTATTGCTTGGCTCAGCTGGACAGTAGTAGAGAACTTTCCGTTGCCTGGAACACCCTATATAACATCCACTGTATTAGCGTAGTATAATACAAACAGGCCAGGTCGAGGAGAATATCGATCGTATGACAATGTTAAGGGGAGCCATACTTTTGCGAATTGTCATTTTCTCAGTTGTGTTTTGCTTGAACTAACTTGATTCTTAGTTATGCCATTACCTCCGCGATTTAAAATTGATTTTAAAGTAAAATGGAAAATATTTCATCAATTCAAAATGCGCGAGTTCAAGATGACGGATGGTTTCAGTGCCTTCCATGATAAAAGATGACTTCATTATGACATCATCGCTACTGTTAACTGTTACAATTGCTTACGTATTAGTCAATTTCTAGAGTATTTTTTTAGTATTTTTCGCTTCATGGCTGTTTTAGGTAAATTTGAATTCTAAGTTCATACGTTTAACAATATGACGTCACAGGAAGCAAACAGAAGCAGCGTCTGAGCAGTGTTAATGGTGTTTAAGGATAAAAAGAACGGTTATGATCGATGTGAACCGAATTTACAACTGACAAACGCTTTGTCTGCAGGCGCACACTTTTATGTTTGAACATTTTTCACTGGGAAGAAGTACTTTTTTTAATATCTAATTTAAAAAATTAATCAATATTGATTTTTTTTTGCCCACCTTTATTCCACATCCTGGATTGCCATCCGCTACAAGTTCCAGAGCCCAGGCTTGAAGCTCGTAATCTTCCTCAAGTTTGTCCTCGGAATCTGTACGACGAAATGGAAACACGTAACTATCAGAGTGTTTTCGATTCACTTGATGGAGATAAAGTTTTTGAACCTTGATTCATGATTCTCTTTATAAGTAACTCTAATTTGTCCTCGGAATCTGTACGACGAAATGGAAACACGTAACTATCATAGTGTTTTCGATTCACTTGATCGAGATAAAGCTTTTGAACCTTAATTCACGATTTTTTTATAAGAAAATCTAATTTTCACACATATCCTCAAAATCAGTTTTCTTCGAAAACATCATGAGATTATACTATGGTATTTCATCTTAATTTCGTATACCAGTCTTACTACACATGCATGGCATAAACGCATGGGCCAGAAACTGGAGTCCTTTTCGCGCTATTTTACTTAGCTAACCACCTTTGTCTTTCTTATTAGGTTGTATTTGTGATTGCAAATTATTAACAGTATTTATCCATAAACTAGAGATTAATTAGAACAATGTAATCATATTAATATCTGCACTGTACCATGAAACGAAAACGTTTGTGCAAGATGCCAGAGAAAAAGGTAGATTTCATTGGTTGGTGGAATGGTCTTAAATTAAATATTTTTCTTTTGAATTTAAGAAGTTGCCTCTTTGCAAATTTATTGCAAGACAAAAACTAAAATGTAAACTACAAAGCTTGGAGCTGAAGGGCTGCGTGCCAAGAACCATTAGGGATCAACCCTAGATATTTAACAGCTGTCTGTCTGTCCTAAATATTCTGCACTTTTTTAATATTTACCGTATCTTGCTTCGACTATTGAAGACACGTATCTGTAAATAGCATTGTATAACATTAGACCATCATCTCTATAAGGATAATCAGGAAGAACTGCTGAGTCAGATACCTGTTAAAGAGGTAAAATACGGCATTCATATATTAATCATGGAAGAACAAAGTAAGTTGAGTAACCTGTATAAAAATATGAATTACACTTGTTTTCAACTTGACACAAAAACCGTTGGCAACTGAAATACTTGTTATTTATCTGGTGTGAGTGTAGATGAGGTTAGAAATGAGGTAATAAGGATTGGACAGGCATTTTTCTTATGTATTAACCACATTTTTTAAAGGGTGCGATCACAATACTTAAATACGGCAAAAAATCACCACGACCTTTGCCATCATCGGAGTGAATTTTTTGTGTAATTTGTAAATCTGTTGACTTTAAAATGCTTTTATTAATAATTTTCATCCCAAACAATCATGATGATAATTATGATGATGATTATGATGATTATGATGATTATGATGATGTTGATGACATGACGATGACAGTGACGATGATGATGATTATGATGGGGCTAATGTTGATGATGATGATGATGATGATGATGCTAATGAACATCATTGTCATTATGAAGGTCTTAGCCACGAACGTCAGTTTTAATTGTCTTAGACGCACTTGGTCGCAATAAGTCGACACTGATCCCTTTTTTCACACGTCATCTTTTGATAAGTGAACCATAAATATCGACTGTCAATCTTTCTTGAAATCGGTACCCCGAAATAATTTATTATCTAGAGCTGTATTGCTCACCCCTCTCTCCTCGAGGTCTTCTGGTAACGTGCCTTGAACATCCATCCTCCAATCTTCCCACCTACGAAAAAAATAACAACAAAAGATAGAAAAATGAAATGGTTTTATCAAGTACAAAGTTACATATGAGTGCAATCTTGTTGTTTGTTTGGTACCAGCTAGATACGTCTTTTATTTTTCTCTCCTCCCGATAAATTCTTTGTTCAACGCATCAGCAGAAACGTCAGAGCAGCGATCATGACAGGAAAAGTGCTATTCTTGGGCTTTGAATTACCAAGATAAAACAGACAAGTACTGTGCAATAATTATCAGGGGGACTATATAACAGGAGGAGGCACCATGAAAACTCGTAGCCTAAGGAGTTTTCCTCACCCCCCCCCCCCCACCTCCCTTAAGATGGGCTTTGACAAGTGTGGAGGTTTCCGCGTAAAAGATGCAAAGTAGGTATGCTATGCCTCGCACGGGTAACTTATTTGTAATCATTTTCGCCGGAAAATGCGATGACTGTACCGCCGTCCACAGTTTTACAACCTTTTAGCTTTTTTGTTTATTTTGTTGTTGTTGTTGTCTTTGTCTCCCTTGCGTTGCTCACCCAAGCGCTATGAGATCCAGAGTTCCTTTCGCTCCGAGAGTCGTAGTTGTATCAATCCAAGAGCCTGGAGTAAGTAACTCATTCACCTCAAAACTGCAACCAAGAAAACGCAAAAAAAAAAATGAAAAAAAAAATTTAAAGCAGCAAAACGATGACATTTGCCTTGGTAATAATTTAATGATAAAAATGTAAATCTGGCTTTATACCCGCCAATCGTCATGTAATGAGTATTTCAATCAACTATGATGATTTTATGCGATGCAGGAGCCCATAACCCGGAGCGAACAATTCCCATGTGCTCTCATCACGACGTTTTCACTGAGCGGTTTATTTTTAGAACTATTTTGGGGGCGAATTAAGAATATCTTTCAGGTCCCACAAACCAGTCAACAAAACTTAAAACCCTAAAACTGGCATTTTTGACCTTCTAATGACGTTTGGTTTTCCTTTGTCACTTCTTACATTTCTAATGCGTTCATGAAAGCGGAGCTTCCATTTTCGCGGCAAAAAGTGCTGTAAAATGCGTCCAAAAATAAACCGGCCGGTGAAAACGCCGTGACATAAGCCTAGTATAAGAGTTGCACACTCCGGGTTATGGGCTCCTGGCTGATGACGATGATGATGAGGACGATGACGACGACGATAATGATGTTGGTGGTGATGACTTTGATGATGATTATTATTATTGTTATTATCGTTATTATTATCATCAGTAACATCTTTAAAAGTCCAACGCAGTAATCACTTGGCCCAGCAGGCTACCTTGCATTACAAGACAGCTCGCATTTGTTGCAGTTTGTAGTAGTCATATATATATATAACTAGTGCTTTTAACATTAATATAGGAAGGATTGTCAAGTATTTTACTTACCAATTTATTGGGATCACGTGACGCAAGTAGGGAGCTAGCAGTCTGAAAACTGGATGTGAGGGAGACAACTGCCGATGTGTTGCTATTGAAACTGCCTCCAGGAAGAGATGGGTGTACCCTTTTAGATGTAACAAGAAAATTAAGGAGGTGCGACTCGGTTTTTTAGAAACAACACCTACCCTCTTTGAACACAGTGCAAAGATGCGTTGAACAAAGCGGAAACTCGCTTTTTCTAGTTTTAAGTATCCATAGCAACACTATGACACCATTTTTTTTACGTTTCCTTGCTAGCTAGAAATCTGGACAATCGTTTGTGAAGCTACTTTAAGGACCTATAGCTCATATAACTGTCGAGAGTTGTACCGTTTAAAAGCAATTTTTATGGGAGCATTAATTTTCGTAAAATGTTTGTGAAATTTTTGGCTGCTACAACAAATCATAATCAGCGTTTTTTGCGTCCAGAAAAAGACATGAATCGTGTCAATAGGAAGTCAACTTTTTCCTATGATCGTTTTTAGAGTTTTGGGTTGTCCAGAGTAAAAATGAGATGGATTGCTTCCCCGATTTCTAATAACGTAATAACTTGACGTAGTTATAGTAATATTCCACTCTTTTGTCTTGACGTAGTTAGAGCAATATTCCACTATTTTGTCATAAATTATATTCATTTGTTAAAACGCGTAGATCTTCGCAGAATTTTTGCTCCATTCAAGGAAGGAAAATTTAGTTTCGTTTAAAACTTTTCCCGAGCGAAATTCCGACCGGTAAAGCGAGAACTTGCACGAAATTCCTCTAGCATCAAGCGAACACTGACAGAATGTAATGAGAACATTTAATCCTGCTTTAATTGGGATCCCTACGTCTCATTTCTTTTGCACAGGACAGTATAACCACATGTGTTAACTATAACTAATTATAACTCTGATGGGTCATGGATATTTGTGGTACCTAGCAACACGCATGCTCTGTGATATTGTGCGTCCGCATTGTTAAACCACATCTTTGCCAACACCCAAGTGTACCAGGGATCGCTGGGAAGAAATACCTGACAAAGGAAACAAATTAATAAGAAAAAAAAAGTAACAAACTGATAAACTTAAAGGATTGCCAAAAAATATATATATATAACGCTATGCGGCAAAATGCTGAAATATTTTGTCGTTTGGTGCAGGGAGAGAATCGTTGTGATCTACAGGTCATCGTTGATAGCGCGGGGTAGCGGAGCTCCCACGTTTGTTAGAGCAATGCAAAAATCTGGTTTTGACCTCAGGGTATTACGTATGTTACTTTATACAGCCTCTGGGAACAAAGAAAGGAGTCCCGGCCTAGGTAGCACCACGCGGGAGAGGAAAATTCTATGTTGTACCAGGATGCAAGTCTGTGTCACAAATAATGCTGATTTTTTTGACGAGCCGGCATTTTTGATTCTCTGCACCCCTATAGAAAGCATTTTTGTTCTAGCTTGTTCTTTTCCCCAATCAATTTTTGGGCACGAAAATTTACATTGCTTTATCCTTACTGGACACATTCTCTCAGTTTCATTCTACCGACAAACTTAACTGTAACCTTTTAAAGTTAATTCTTATTAGTCAAGTATCTTTAAAAGTGCGTGAAGTTTTAGGTTCTGCATGCAGTGTAAGGGACACATGTGAGCACCAAAACATTAAAGCAGAAGGCATAACACAGTTTTTGAAAAGCTCAGCTATTCAAAACTTTCATTCAACATAATCAATCAATTACTGCAGAGCAGTAACTGTTCAAATAGAAAAAATGGGGGGAAAGAAAAAATTAGGTGCATTCTCTGTCCTCTCAAACTGACCTTGCGACGCAACTTATGCATTTCTCTGTACTAATATGAATTTCTTTACATTTGCTGGTTTAACGTTTATTGTTGGTTTTTCGCTTTTAGCCTTGGCTAGATCTTTATATACACTGACATCCAAGCATGAAAAAAAAAAAAGAAAAAAAAGAACACCCCCGGTGGGACTCGAACCCACAACCTTTGAATTAGAAGTCCAACACGCTAGTCCATTGCGCCACGGGGGCGACACATTCGCTTCCTTATAACGTGTTGTTTTTATCCTGTATTTAACCTAAGCATTATTTAAAAGGAAAATAATAACCCTTCCCTTTTCTGCGTCAGCTGTTTACTTTTTTGTGTTTATATAATCAAAGGGCGATACCTGCTATATGAGAAATAACATTTAGTCGGTTTACGAAAACCATGAAATTGAAAGCTGTCATGGGCCTTATTACAGACTAATTCATAGGTCTTTGTTTGCTAGACCACGAAACTAGAGATAGTTAATAAGGCCCCAACGACTTTATTTTAGTGGTCATAGTGACGGTTGCCCTGGAATCAAGATTTCATGTGATGCGGTACATCTTACTGGCCAGCCTCGCGGTTTCAGATTTTCTATCCTTGATCCTTGTAAACTCGTTCCGTGTTGCAAGTATAGCAAACAAAAGGTGGCTATATGGGGAGACAATGTGCTATCTTAACCCATGCCTTTTACGATACTTTTACTTCAACACTGTGTTTCATTTACTGGCAGTGTCTTATGAGCGATACCAAGCCATAGTACAGTCACCTTTGACTCACGATGGCACCATCAACAAGTCCAGAGTGGCGATCATAGCTCTCGCCTGGATAATGCCGATTCCATTTTCGATCACTCCGTTCCTTGGATGGGGCAAGTTCGTATACAACCCGCAAGTGTTTTACTGTGAACAAGGATTCGTGCAAAGTGCTTCTTCCAGAGGAAACGCGGTAATATTCGCCATCCTATTCTTTTTTGCACCATTTCTTGTCATTTCCCTTTTGAACTGGTCGGTCTACAGGGTGACAAGAAGACAGACTCACGCTGTAGCAGTTCAAATTGGAAACCTCGATGGTGCCGAAGATAACAGCCACAAAAACGTGACGAGGCGAGAAAGCGATCGTAAGGCAGCTAAGGATGTCATCATTATCATCGCCGCGTTTTTATTGTGCTTTCTTCCAACATGGATCTCGGGTATTTTTCGAAGTTTCGTCCAGGAAGCCAGTGTTCCTGCTGAGGTGACATTAATCACGAGCTCCATCTTCTTCGTAAACTCGCTGTGTAACCCAATCATCTATTCCAACCGAAAGAGGGAATTCCGTAAGGCAGTTTATACTTTGTTGACACGAACTGGAGTCTGTGGAAACGCTAACGTCATTCCCAACATACAAAGAAACGTGATTGAGATGACCACTTCTAATACTTTAAACAGAGAAGGTCCCACTGAATCATCGGCAGCAGTACTCGCCACCTGACATCCGGAACGCATGGATAGCAGAGACAGCGTTTAGAGACATAACTCTCCAATTCAAGACACTTACTTATTAGTAAAGAAAATGACTGAAATTTGCCATTCTGTTCTTGTACCTTTACAAAAGGTAAAGTTGATGTTGGGCCATTATTAGATTCGGCTTTCTTAAGATATGAAGATTTCGGCTGATAAGGAGGAGGGTGTTTTCACCCTTTAAGAGATTTGCTTCATTCTCCGTATTACATTTAGAATACTCCAGACGTAAAGAATGCTTACCTCGATCGATCAACATAACGTTCCCTTCTTCGTTTGCTTCATTGCATTTAGGATATAAAGAGATGTTAGTCTAGAGCATATGCTTTAGATAGCAGTTATCATGCGTCGAGTGGAGTTCTTGCTGTTCTTGCTGTGTCTTTAGAAAGTAGTTCCCCTATTTCTTCTTCCAATGCACATATTTAACCAAGTTTTATTACCCGGGCAAAAATGTTGCGCAATGCGAACGAGGGAGCTCCGCTATAACTTGTTGTAATCGCGATCGTACCTAAGAATCATATTCACTAGGGTGTTGTTACTTACTGGATTTGCATCTCCTTTTTCTTGGAAAAGCTGAATAGCGATAGGAATGAGGTATCTTTTGGCGGGACTTAGAAAGAACAGCGCCAGTGGCGAAACAACCTATCAACGAATCAAAGACAATATTGTTTCAAAAGAGGTACATATTTTTTGAGATGTGGAAACCTGCAGATCATAAACTTCAGAAGCGTAGCATGAAATTATAATCATGCAATCTTAAGATTTTCTTGAGAGAAAACAAACCACTTTTACGAAAGAGAAGACAATTGGAACTAAGAAACATAATATGCCTTTCGCCATTTGCACATCTCCCATAACACACCTTGTTTTCCCTCAAAATTATGCGGAAGCATCATCTTTAATCTCTCTTTGGACTACTGGTAATACCTCCAAAAATAGTTCTGCAAAATTTTGGGCACCAAACAAGGTGAATTATGGGAGTACTGCAAATGGTGAATGGCCTTTTTTGGGAAGATGTGTGGGGAAGGTTGGTCATATTCACAACCGATAAAAACCGCAAAAGATTTTAAATGTCCAACCTTTCGTGTTTCATCTAGTTTAAGACGGCTAAGGATTTCCAAGTTGACAATAAAGATCATCTTCGATTCTAAGGCTTCGTCTAGCGTTCGACCTTCAAGAAACGGCTCCAACATTACAGAAGTGACTGCAAAACTAAAAAGGGAATATAAAGTTATTAAGTTGTTACCTATAAAAATTAAAATTGTAATTATTATTTATTATTATTAGCAGCAGTAGTAGTAGTAGTAGTAGTGTTTACGATAAACGCTGAAACATTTATTGCTTCTTTATATGTAGAAGAAGCTTGAAAGAAACGATTGAAAAGTTCTTCTCGCTGTAATTCAGAATTATTATGTATTATATCAACACCAATGAAGTACCAGGTGAGCTTTCTGACGCGTACGTAAACATGATATCTTGACACTAATAGGTCTAGACCTAGACTACGATTTCTCGCATGGGGTGATTTTCACGCGCGCTCGCGTTTCGCTTGCTCTACTATCCCTGAGGAAAAATGGGGGACTACTCGTAGTCTAGTCTAGACCGCGCAAGATTGGTTTTTATCGGTTTCAAAGTTTTACGTTTGTTGTGGTCATAGTAATATCAATTTTACTTCAAACTGCATTTTGACAAGCTTCAATACAAAGTTAGTTAGTGGTGATTGGTGAAAATTTCATAGCAAGCATAAAGTCACATTTAAGGCGATTAGCGAAACACAATCAAAAACTAATTAATAAGTTCATAAAAAAATATATGATTGTTTAATGAGTGTCTTTATATATGATAAAGACACAGCTTAACTTTTGTTCAATTTTTTAGACCAAAATAACCCTAAATCTGAATATTAGTGCAAGAATGAGTTGATCTAAATGAGATTTTGAAGCCGTTCAAAAATCTCGCAGTCGTATCAGGTTTAAAAGCAATTGGCTTTGCCTCGAGTTCTTAAACCCGATGATATACTCCTGCTCGCTTTTTTAAACAGTGCTTAAAGTTGTCGTAAGACTAAAAGTTACCTTAAACATTACTGGAAGATACGAGACAGAAAAACATATTGTTCCTTACTTGTCTGGAATTTTTGTGCAGAGACGAATTAATGTTGGATTACAACCACACAATCTTTGTCGAGCAAAATGGACATCATCTCGCCAAAAATTTCTTCCCTAAAAGTGTAAACAAATATCTAAAATTTCGTTTCAGCAATCGTAGTGATTAAATGGACGTAGACTTTGGATCCCTGTCAACTCACCGCAGGTTTTCCGAGTTTTCTATCAAAAATCTCATCCAAAGCGTGAAGAGAGGACAAGGGTTCTGATCCATAATCTGGAATGTTGTATTTGGTAACCAGTGTGGATCGTCTAACGATAATATCCCACTAAAAAACAAAAAAACAAAGAAGAAAGAATAGAAATATGTAAGGGCCTGGTGGGAAAGAATGAATTATATTGCAAAAAATATTTTAAATCTTTATTTCCTTGCTTTTTTTTTAGTTTAGCTTCATACCCTTCGTCAAAAGTATAGAGAGTTTACACATGACGTCATAGAGAACATTTGCGTCCAAAAAATGCACTTTATTTGAGTGTCAAGGTATTTAGCATGAAACTGCTAATTGCGGACACTATTTTTACGCCTCCAACTGCAGAAAAAATGAAATGGTGATCGATCCGTTGATTTCCCAGCAACCAGTCCTGTGGGAGTAGTATAACTTTTTTCTTATGAAAAGAATTTCTTCTGTTCGAGGGCCTAGGCCTATTTCTATGGCTGCAGCGCCACCAATGTGTTGGGTTCTATCCTTTAACCAGCACCATGTTAATGACAGCAGTGGGGCACGAAGGGCAACCTACAGGGTCCCTTACTGAGCCCAAATAAAGAAAACGATGATTCCTCAAACCTCACCCTCTGCTGTTTGTTAGATAGAAAGCTATCCAGAAAAGTTGAGAAGATGGAATATTGCCCCCCCTTTATCTTCTCTCCTCCAATACAACGGGTACCCTGATGTCTTAAGTTTGAAAGCCAGTGACGAGCAAGGCAGAGAATAAAATTAATAGCTAAAATATTTTGAATTACCTTCATATTTATTTATATTATATATAGTAACATTAATAATAATAATAATAATAATAATAATAATAATAAAAACAGGTAATGTCACAGTATGAAATGAAGTGTTGGTGGCTGAACTTAAGACCTGCCCCCGTGGCGCAATGGACTAGCGTGTTGGACTTCTAATTCAAAGGTTGTGGGTTCAAATCCCACGGGGGGTGATTTTATTTTTTGGTACGCAGTTATGGTGTGAACCATAATGAACATTCTTCTTGTTTCTTCGTCTTCGTCTTCGTCTTCGTCTTCGTCTTCGTCTTCGTCTTCGTCTTTTTTTTTTTTTTTTTTTTTTTTTTTGCTACTTCTTCCTCTTATTGCGATTCTTGTATGTGTGCAAACGGATGCAACAACTCCCATCACGCGTGTTGGTCTATAACGCGACTTTATTGCGTTGCTGTCTCCAAGGAGACTATGTGTAATGCGCGTGAGTGGCCCTAGCATTTCCCTAGCATAGCCTGCGTGGTAGACGTTGAAAAGGGAAGGGGAAATTTAGGGGCGCGCCCAAATTTCCCCTTCCCCTACCTCTTTTAACGCCTACCATGCAGGCTAGCCCCAGCATTATCCGTCTGGACGGATAATGCGTCCTCTAGTATAAAAACAGCCAATAATAAAACAGTTATTGGATTTGGCTTTGGTATGATCTAATTAGGAGTTTTTAAGATCTCGGAGGGTATTATTTGCCTCGGCCGAAAGGCCACAATCCTCCTTCTGCATAATTTCTCACATTCTAATCAGCCTCATCAAGTAATTGCTAAATATCCGCCGAAGAATATTCTATCTACTGCATTCATTTATTTTATTTTTTTATTTTTTTATTTATTCCTCCAATTCTTAGCTGATACATAGTTATGTAAATATAACTGAGAAAAATAATATAGTAACAGATAAAGATTTACAAAGGAAATAAACGCGTAAAATAGAAATTACAACACTTAAATTGAATTACATTGTATATTGGAAGGAGAGGAGAGGGGCACATCTAGATAAACTAATATTGTGCCCCTTAAAGTTATGTGTAACAAAGGACTGAAGATTATTAATAAAAAAGGAAAGGAAAAAATGACAAAATAGCTCAGAAAGTCTACTGCAAAATCTACTGCAGAAAATCTACTGCATTCTTCATTTTGAGAGGGCTAATCTTTCATTTTTGGCAAGAATCATACTTACCTGATGATTATAGCTGAATACTTCTTCCTTTGGACAAAAGCTGATCTGAAAGCAGTCATAGGTACATCATGTATATATAATATCATAACAAGTATGTAAATACATTATAGCAATTAGAATTTTAGTTCTTTTGAGGTCCACTGCTTTTGAACTCGCTGCTAAGCTCAAGTTTTAAAATGACCTCCGACATGGTGAAATGGTGTAACTATGTACACAGTTACATATATATATCGGGTACTCAAGATGTGAGCGCGGCACTATTTCATGTGCCAGTACCCAGGCACTTGCTCCTGGGCACCAAATTAAATTTTCAACATCGGATAATGCATTTCTAGCGTTCTGATTGGTTCACTCAATCTCGGTTATCAGCTCATATACTTTAGTTTGACCTTATATGGACAACAACAAAATTTCTCTCGGACAAAGCGATGGAAAAAATAGAGTCCGTGAGTTTTCTGCCTACGAAACAACAGAAAAAAAAAACTGAACAGAAAATGCCATAACAGCATGGGCAAAAAAGCACAGACTTTGGTTTGCAATTATTTAATGGTACTCCGAAGTTTCCTTACAAATTTAAAGAAATTATAAGCTTAAGGTATTCTTCCGTAACAACAACAACAACAACAGCAACAACAACAAAGTTTACCTTAAACATTTTCAGAATGGCTTGCAAGCCCTTCCAGGCGGAAAGTTTTCAAACGATTAGCAGAATCTTTGCGTGTTTGAAGAACAATTTACACCTCTTAACACTTTCGCAAGTCCATAAGGGACCATAACGGTCCTCAAGTAAATGTTACAACCAACCAGTGGCTTTCCATTGAACAACAACAACTTTACAACAACAACAAAATGAAGCTGGGTCTCTGTGCAGCTCCGATTCAGTGAAGGAAGAAAACAAAATTGAAAAGCAATCAGGTCGACCTATCCAGCGTCAAATTCCACAGTCCCAGCGAGGGAAAGCGAAAACAGTACTTGTAGAGCATAATTTAAGCAAGGTGTCCTTTCCTATCAGATTTTTCAGTCAACTAAGTTCGCAAACGGCGCACATGTCATGTGATTTTCCCTTGGTTTACCGGAAGTTACATTATTATCCGGTCGCTTTTTAATATCTAAAATGAAATTTACTAAAATTCAGTTGTAATAACCAGACGTTTGGAGTTTAAAAAAAATTAATAAAACAATTATTCCATTTGCGCTTGTTGGATATGAGATAGTTATAGCCAACTCATATCCAACGCGCGCTCATGGAATAAATGTTAAGTATCCTAGCTGCGCTGACCTTGGCCTGAGAAAAGGACCCAGTCAGCATTCTTCCACTATATTAAAAACTAATCTTTTCACTTCCATAATTTTACATTCATCTTGAATTACTTTCAACAAGCAAAGATTTGCATTTCGAGCTTTGAATCTAGTTCAGTGAATGAGCGACATACAAAATTTATTTCGTAATTAGCCTGCGTAGCTAGCGGGATGCGTGAGCTATTTTATTCATGCGCGCCTTAGGGCTTGTTATGCACCGGGTATTTTCTTTACCCGCGGTGTTTTTTCGATGGCGGAGGGCTCCGCCGCCAACTAAACAACAGCACTCACCTGTTAATCCAGCCAGCTACGCAGGCTATTTTTTCTTATTAATAAAACCACTTTTTTTACCTGTGGGGGTATTCCAGGCCTTCGTTTGTAGTAACGATACATGGTTCTTCTCCAAAACAATTCAGTTTCCCTTTGCTCAGTCTCAACATCAAACTGAGGCAGCGAGCTGTCATATGTCCTCAATATTAAGGGCAGCGTGTTTTTAATCCATCGATGGCATGGAAAAATGAAATCTTCGTAGTCTTGTCCACTGTAACGACGTACTTCAATCGTTTCAATAAACCATTCGACGTAATTTCTTCGATTCGTGGCGTCGCGGCGGACAAACTCGATCTTGCACAAGCGTCCGATGCTGACAGGTTCACAGAATTTGAAGGTGTCTGTGTGTCCTTTCTTGAATACTGTAACACAACACCCTTGCAAGCATAATTCCTTAGATCTGTTGCCTTTGTCATCGATCAATGTTAGAAAAGCGGCGTTGTGTAAGCCTCCCCCTTTTGTGTCCCCGGTTTTGACGGTTATTAACAAACCAGGGGAATCAAAACAGCTCATACAGTCTACAGTATTTCCCATATCAATCCTTTGCTTCGAAAACCAGCATTTCACATGCAACAGGTGTGAGATTCACGCCGGCGAAATAAACGTTAAAACACCGGCGATGCTCGTTTAGTTTTCTCTAAACATCAAATATCTTCGGGGAGAGCATTGAAGAACATTATATCCCTGTTTTCAATTATCATTTACAAAGATCTTTGTTAAGTCTAGCAACTCTCAAGCTAAACGCTATGTCGTCTTCTTACCACTGACAATCCATCAGGTTTAAGGCGCCGAATAATCCCGGGACGCGTTTGTTACTCAATTTCAAGGGCTCCAAGCACTAACTCGTCTCCAAGTATATAAAAAACTGTTCGCGTATCTGCAAAATTTCAGTTGTGCCGAGTAAACCACGCTGAAAGGTAATTTATACTGAAAATATGATTGAAAGTAAACTAACCAAGCAGATAACTGACCACAAGCAACAGGTAGAGAGATTGGCTTGGTCATTAAAATTTAATCGCCTCATTCGTAGAATACCTGTTCTGCAAACTATGCAATATCTTAGAGAGGCGGGATTAAAAGCTATTACTGAAGGCAAAAAAGAAAAAGAAAGAAAAAGAGAAAAAAAATAATTTTCTAGAAATAGGTCAGTGCTTATAAAAGAAATTATAGGCCGAAAACTAAACAATACTTTGTAAAAGTTTTAATCCTTTTCGTAATTATGTTACGTCTTTTATTTATTACCATCTTTTCTAATACCCAAACAAAGTTTCTGGGAAGGATCGCACAAGAACGATATTACTACATTTATAAAGCTTCGAAGAAGATCAATGAAAGTACTTTCATCATTTTTTTTCCTCATCTAACTGTGAATCAAAAACAGTATCGTCAACATACTTTTTTTTGCAAAAAAATTACAAATGAATTTGAATAGAAATACAAATTGAAATTACGTAAGTAAAAAAACTGTTGCACAGGGAATAGGACTCAGGCCACTAAGTTAAATATGCATATTTTGTAAAATGCTATTTAAACCGGTTTGCTTCAATCAGTCATCATGAAAAGCAAACTACAAATGTGGCTCAATAAAAAAAACGCGTTAAACGTGATTTCAAATAACACGTGACATTGCTTCATCAGTGACGTCACAAAACACGTTTTCCTAAACGGGGAAGGTTTGCAAACCTTAATCTTAGGAATTTTCACCACCAAAATGTTAGTGTAAATCGTAAATTCGCCTTTTATGGTTGGAAAGGTTATTTATCCTGTTAGCTATTTAACTAATTAGCACGTCACATGACCCTTTTCCCTTTATTTACTGATTCCTTTTTTCTGTAAACATACATAAAAGGCGAATTCTTCAGAACCTTTTTAATAGCCTCTGAAACATACCTAAAAAAACTTGTTGCAAATATTTTGACCGTTAATTCTCAATTAGAAGTCACGTGACGAAAATTTGAACTTCTAAAATGTCTCATATTGCTAAGGTCATTAAGCTTCATTAGTAGTCCAATTTTCAGGATCATTCATAGAAGCAAACCGTTCTAAATAGCATTTTATCAAATTATGCGTATTTAATTATATAGTCATGCCTTAAGTGGCCTGAGGAATCGCTATATTACAAGAGATTAATTTGCTTCAAATGATAAGGCCTAGGCCAAACGTCGAATTTTTCATGAGACGAGCCCGAAACTCTAATTTGGGTCGACCTAAATTAAGTTATAAGGACGCGCCGAACCAACTTACTGAATCAGAGTCATCAGCTGACCAAAAAGCAGTTTTAATAATTATAAATTTTCTCGCTAACGAGGCTTAATATTCATTGTCAAACAAATTTTAAAATTGTCAGTTAAGTTACGACTCGAAGAAATCGGATGAAATCAGGCTACAGTTAAGTTCGTCGCATTTGATGTTTGAAGATTGACGTTTGTCCCGGAGATGACCTTTAGACGTTCTATCTGTCAGAGGGAGGACGGACAGAACGTGTTGGACGATCAAACTCATTCAAACGAACTTAACTGAGCCAGACGTCGAACTTCACTAAGTTTGGTTCGTTTTTTGTAAAGTTCGAGGTTTGGCCCAGGCGTAACTCACGAATATAATTCAATTCCAAGGACAAGTCTTTGAAAAGCTTGGATTCTACAAGTCATAAGGCACGGTAACCTACTACATCATTTCTCAGGGCGTCGGTAACAGCGCAATGTCTTTTCTGCTTAGAAGAAAATATTATTAACGCCACAGTGGTGCGTCATTAATTGTAACGGCTTAACGTCACCACCCAATGAAATGATCATCTGTACTTAGACGATATCTTCATCGCTGTAGCAATAAGCCAGAAGAAACCTGTTCTGTGACCCAAAGAGTTATGAATCTCCCCTCTACCCCTAGTCTGGTAGCGGCCAACGCCCTATTAAACTATGAGCTAATTGGAAGGTGTTCACTTACAGCTATTTGTTTTCGTTCCATGATAATCGACTAAGTATATCAAAAAGGGTGCAGAAAACTCATGGATAGCTGATTTCTGTGTAGCCGCGTGATATCAGTTCGCCGGGGAAAGAAATCAACTCCAGGCTTGTTTGATAACACCCTTGGCTGAAAGATTGGACTTTTGACAATTACACAGTTGAGGCCGCAACATTAATTTTCAGCCCTAATGAGACGCTCAAGGGCATAAGGTAGATAGTACCCGTGTTTCATTCTACTCGGCTATGCCTCGTGTCGGTGTTTACCGGTAAGGTACTTACATTAGTTTCTAACGGTAGTTACAACTGGATGAAGCACGCGCGTGCCAGCACGTGGCGGTGCATGAGGGCACGTGCCGGTAGTTAGCATTTTCTGTCCAGTCTTTGTAATGCCGGCACTAAAGCCAACACAGCCAAAATAAACGACAAAAAGTAAAAAATATATATAATAATTTATATATTAAGTTTCCCACATATTTGTGACAAGGTGATTTTTCGCATTACATTTTCCTTTTGTCACCCAATGATCTGCGAGATCATGATAAACCTTTGGCAGAAGTGGTGATTTTGAAACATACCATTTGCATATTTGACACGACGATAAATCAAGGTTTCTGCGAAACACTTTGTATTTTAATCTCCATTTAAAGTATTCGTTGTAAGCGGTATTGTTGGTGTCCAAATAATGAAGGTAATCCGCCAGTTGTTTCAGAGTTTTGAAGTCCAAAACATTGATGTAAGACCCAGGAATAGCCAGCTTGGTGTAATCTGCACCTCCCATCACAACTGGGGCAACATTGAGGTCTTCACCTGTATTGAAAAATATAATTGTATTACTTTCTATTACTGTATTACGGTTTTTCAGAATGCAAGATTTGCCTTATTTCAAATACCAGGTTTTGGGATTTTGAAGGAAATTGGCAGGTGTGGGGGGGAGGGTGTGGGGGAGGGGGTTGTGTTTCGGGATGGAAAGTATGCATAGAAATGCGGCATCCCGATTATAACCATCGGGATTACGGGATTGCGCGAACGTTTGGGTCGGGATGAGGGGTTTGAAGAACCCTATTGAGGATCCCCTAAGGCCCTGTTTACAAGGAGGAAGGGGAACCCTGGTTCAATGGTTACCCCAGCAAGAAGGTCACCTTCTTTGTTTACACGACATGTTTACAAGGCAGATCGGGTTACTCTGGACTAGCAGGGTAACCCTAATTGAGTGCTAGGGTTACCCTAGCAAGAGGGTTACCCTGTCTGCCTTGTAAATGCTCTGCCAGGGATAACTCGCCTACCCGGGACAACCTTTCTCCGTCAAGCGTGACCAGTAATCCTGACAATTTGAACGGAGTTATCCAATTTCTGACCTAAATTATAAACATCTGAAAAATGTACAATGTACGACATTTTCTGTATACGATGATAATATTTTTTCGTTTCTTTTTGTGAATTTAACCTGCGTTCCATAGAGAACTTCAAGGTTTCTTTTAAATCTGGAACGTTACGAAGAACGTTTCTTTTTGTCTTATGTGGTCATGCGTGACAAAACACGTCAGCAAAGCTGGTAAAGGAGACTCAATTGAAAAGGTTACCCTACCTGCGAAATTTTGGTTGTAAATTAAACCTGGGCTTTCTTTAACCCGCTTGCTAGGGTAACCCTAGAACAAGGGTGACCTTCTCTCCTTGTAAACAGGCCCTAACATTAAAATACTCCTGTTAAGCTTTCTAGGTACAAGGTTATCCTAATAAGTGTTCTATGAGCATGGAAAACAGGACCATAAATATTTAACAACACCCTTTTCACAGGGGGCCCACTCAATACGTTTGTGAACAACAGTACTGATAATTAATCATTGATAATGTTAATGTTAAATTTTTCTTAGATTAAACAGCAGAATTTAATTTTGATGTCAACTTTTTATTTTAAAAAAGGCTTCAATAATTTGTTTTTGTAACATAAAGTAACAGTTATAAGTTAATTTCATGGGATTCAGCGTAAGTTTCACAGCCCAGGGGGTGAGGACCCCATTTGAAACTCGTCTGTAGACTGGAATTAAACCTTTTAAGGAGGCTAATTTGGGTGGGGTTCAAGCTATGTGTGCCCCCTAGCAAACCATTACAAATGCTAAAACAGCCTGTAAAAAGAAGAGCTTACATTGTATATAATTTTTTTATTGTGATAGTCGAGTTGTCATTTTTTTCACACCTGTGCAAATGAGGAAAATTGCCTAGGCCAACCTAAGTGATACCAAAAACTGCAAGTCCCCAAGAGGAGACAACGTCAACCTTCATACCTTTCATAAGGGAGTTCATCCAACCATGCACAGTGAAATTATGAAGTACAGTGTGTTATATTAAAAAGCAAAGCATGCATGGCCAAAAATGACTTATCCTCTTTTTTCGAAGACCCCATAAGAGACTGTTTTGCCCAAATTTTGAATAAGCATACAGTAAAGACCCGCAACTAAGGCTAAATTTTTCCAGATAGGGCCCCTCAATACAAGAACCGGTTTAGCCTAAAATTTAAAACAGGTTCTTATTAATTTTCTAAAGTCTATAAAAAAAAAAAACTGGGAAATAAAT